ACTTAATCCATACATTCTCGTTTCAAAATTAAAATATAAGTTAATTTTTAAAATTTTTTTCCAAAAAAATTTTAATTTATAAAATTTGTGGCTTGCCCACTACACTTTGATCTATCCTTTTTAGCTTTCGTAATTTTTTTGGAAACACCAAGCATGCAATCAGACAGAACAGAAGAGGCTCCTAGATAGCATACCCCACGCCTACTCAAGATCAGCAACAAAAACAAAACTTTTTCACACATTATTCAAATCATTCACCCGAAACTACAAAAATTCTTAAGAACTTAGCGACAACACATATACAAAAACAAAATAAATACAAAATTACCTCATAACTTTCGAAACAACCGACAGAAAAAACAAATTTTGCAATAATAGTATACAAAAGAAAAGAACAAAAACAGAAGATGAGAAGAACACAATAAGAAGAGAGGGAAAACAAAAGCATTCGGCGCCAGATCAAAAAAATACATGTGCCGACTTGGCTAGATTATACTATTCAATCTCGAGCTCAAAGAAGAAATCGAGACTCGAGCTTGAGGGAGATAAAAATATACTAAGTAAATTACCTATTTGTATCATTGTTGTTTGAATAAACTTAATTTTTAGTCTTAAAAACAATTTTTTTAAAAGCTCATTGAGTGTCAAAATAAATTGTAAACATCACAATTTTTTATGCCTTCCAAAATTCTTTTTAATCCTTGTGCAATCGCATTAAAATCATATGCTATTTCTATATTAAAGTTTTCATTAATTTTTAGGAAATCCGAAATTTTGTTGCTTCCAAAAAAAGATTAAATTTATGATATATCGAAAGAGAATCAGAAATAGAACATATATTATAGGTATGAGACAAAAAACGGAAGCCCCATTCAAATCTCACGTTTCTGCCATTAGCAACCCCTAGAGTGCGGTACATTTTAGGAAAAATGACATTTTAACTTTACAAAGTTTACATTTGTAAAATGACATTTTTGCCACTTGTTTGCCAATACCAAAAAAAGTTTGGCGCCAAATCGCAAAAGTGTCATAATCTCATGGTGGACCACAGCTGGTGTTGCCGCCGACTATCTACTTGCTGGGATGCTACGCAGCCTTTGATCTGGCCAATCATAGTGCTGTTCCATCCACATCAGCAAGTGATTTCGGCTGGAGATCTCCAATGGGTCTTCCATGCTAGGATAGCGTAGCTAGGCTGCGTAATTGTTGTGCTTCTGGCGATATTAGTTATACGTTATTGCTCTCATGGACTACAGTACTACTCCCTGAACCCTTGAGGGTCATGGATGTAAGTTTACTCGAACTGGGCAATGTTCATTCCGAAATCTCTCATCAAATGAGAGACTTAGTAATGAGCATTGCCTTAAAGTACTCTTACTACTCTTTCCTAGTTCCCAAAAGGCCTAGGATTCTGTAAAAAAGTGCGGAAATTAAAAACCACAGTTTGAGTACTTTCTGAGAGTCTGTTTGTCAGAAAGTATACATTTGTAAACTTTCTGACACTAAATTTTTTAGTCCTTTCAAAGTTTTTGACAATGTCAAAAAGTATACATCGGGGCTCTCAATTTTCCTCTCAAACGGCGGTTTTTTAAAAACGCTCGTTTTTTCATCGACCTTATAATAATCAATATTCTTTTCTACCAGGGCGAATCTCTTAATCACTTCTAATCAGGGAATTGAATTCTTGTAATATCTCATACCAAGAATTCTCCAAAATCATCAACAATTTCTCATCTGTACTACTGGATTCGCCACGGAGTTTTCTCGTTCCTATAATATCATTTAACAATATCTCATATATGCATAAGATGTTGCTAAATAATTTATGAAAAGGATTAGCTGCTATCATAATTTTAAGACAAAAGGCAGGAATGGCAGAAAATGGAGAAACTTCACTTCAGTTTGAAACATTTTTATCCTAAAGGAAAAAATGCTTGAAGAATAGTGCCTATATGATCTAATCAATAGGGCTCATAGAAAAACTATTGCAATCTTTGAAAAATAGTAAACATGTACCCTCAAATTGAGGGTATTTTGATGTTAAATCTTGCTATTATTGTAATCAATAATAAAAATAATCAAGTAATATTCCGAAATTATTACTCTAGATAATGAAATACAACAAAATGAGGAGAAATGCATTGTAGAAAAGTATATGTAGTATAACATGACTTTTTATATATAAAATAAAGATAAAATATTATACAATTAACTGGAAATCTTTGAAAATTCCAAAGATAATATTAATATTAAATAAATCAAGGCATTTTTTCAAGATCTACAACAATTACTGTAATATTATCACAGTTTAGGGCGGAGTATGTTGCATCTCTTATTCTTTGAGCAAAATTATTTGCATCTTTTGCTTTTTCTGACAAAGAAATAATATCTTTCACTGTTAAATGGTCTCTTACAGCAGCAGAAAGAAGTAGCAACCATCTTCCATCCTTCAATGAAATTTTTGTCGCATTTGTATTTATTTCTTTCGAATAAACCTCATTTCGACCAATAGACATCGTTGTTGGGCCAGAGAAAACTCCGTATGACCTATTTAACGAAACTCCCAACTGTGGTGTACCGAATACTAAAGTAGATTCAACTTCAAACGTTGAAGTACCAATAACTAAAGCTCTTATGTTTCCAGATGCACAGAAAATAGCATCTTTCTTATGCATTAGGACAAAAGCGTACTCAGGAACAGAGAATTTGTTATCAATCGAACCAGGATTCTTCATTTCCGACCAATAGCTTTTCTCAACAGCCTTTGCAACACGGGAGATAACAATTTCGTTTGTAATGTCATCTTCTTCGAGAATTTGTCTGACAATCTGGTTCGCAACGAAAACATGGGATTTGTCGTAGTTCCTTCCATCAACAATGCCATATAAATTAATTCCATTCAATAAAAATGTTTGTGCAATTGCGATATCTTCTCGAAGTTGCCGGATTCCAAGAGTTGAGGCATATCCGCATGCTGTATCTGGATTGGAGTAGCGAATGAAGTAGTTCTTGTCCAGTTTCTTCTCTGGAGAACAAACAATCAGCCCTGGAGGAGGAGATTCTTTAAATGTGACATTTGTCGAGGACAAATCTATTTGGGAAAGCTTGGGGAAGTTAGACAAGTCTAATTGAGATGAAATACGGTTGAATTGAAGCTTAAGAATTCGGAGATTTTCGAATTTCATTTCGGAATTAAACTCAATTAGCTGATTACTGCTTAAATCAAGGTATTTAAGCATTTGTGTCTTATTCTCATGAGGAATTTGCTGGATTTTATTGCAAGAAACGTCCAAATACTCGCATTCAGGAATATCTACTGGAAATTCTGTTAATTCATTATCATTTAGCATTAATTTTTTAACAGTTGGCAATGATGGAACAATAGATATATGGTTATGTGACAAATCAAGCTCTTGGAGGTCTTCAAGTTTATAAATTATTTCAGGAATTTCCGAAATGTTACAATCTGAGGCTAAAAGGTATTCTAATGTTGGTGGGAGTCTTTTTGGAAGACGCTTGAGCTGATTTCCTGAAATTGCCAAAAATATAATTTGAGATTTTCCAATTGATGAAGGGATTTTTGATATTCTGTTACCGCTAAGGAATAAATATGCTAAATTCTGTAATGCAAATAGTTCTCGTGGAATTTCTTTAAGCTTATTATTAGTTAAATCAATTTTCGTCACAAGCTTTGAGAAAGATGTCATTTTGATAGTTCTAATACAGTTCTGAGATAAAAAGAACTCAGATGCCAAGTTTGGAGAGCCTACATTTGGAATTTCAGATAATTGATTTTTCATACATAAATTTTTTCAATTCCGCCGATGCTAGGCAAAGAAACATCCTCCAAACAGTTGTCCTGAAGTCTGAAATGAACCAAATATGTAGGAATTTGGGATTGATCAACAGTTTTTATGTAATTATGTGAGAAATCGATAATATTAACAGTAGAAAGCGATTTGATGAAATCAGGAACTACTCGAAGTTTGTTATATGAAGCTTTTAATTCGATAATTGTTCTTGGTAAATCTGGTATATCAGGGAACATGTTAGAAGTGATATCTAGGACTCTAAGTTTCGGAACTACGTTACTAAGAGCTGGTAATGTTGTCAATTGGTTATAACTTACGTCAAGAATCAGTAAAATGGGAAGTAGACTTAAAATGTTAAATGTTATCATCTGATTATTGGAGGCGCAAAGCTTTTTCAGCTTTTCTAATGATTGTTTGATTTCAATTTGATTAATTTTGTTGTTATCGAGAGTTAAATTGGTAATAGTTTCTGGACAGACAGGGAATTGAGTTAGATTGTTGTTTCCGAGATCCATATTTTCTATTTTTGACTTTTCAAATCTGATTGTTGAAAGTTTATTTCCAAATAAATTAACTGTTCGTAATGATGGCATTTTGTTTAGCAATGTTCCAATATCAGTTAAGCTGTTATATGAAAGATCGAGAACTTCAAGATTAGAATATGTTAAAATTGCAGAAACAAGTGGCGGAGGAAGCGGATATAACTATTTCGTGATAAGCACAGTCGCACTAGGTTTTTCAGATCACTTGGTAGCCAAGGAATAAAATTTCCTTTTAGGTTGATTTCTGTGCAAGGGAGTTGGACATTTACATAGTCTGGCAATTCTTTGACACCTTTATCGATTAGTTCAATTACAGGTCTCTGTATAAATGCCCGAACAATTGATTCTTCAACACCCATTTTTTTATTCACGCCTGTAGAATACTATTCTTCAACTTGTTGAATCTTTCGTGTATAAAATGTCTATTTTTAATAAAAATGTCCAAAGCAATTGACTGAGGAAGCTTAAATTAAGGCCAATCTGAAGCTACCATTAGAATCAATTTGATTACCCCAACATTTCGAAAATAAAATTAAGTTTGATATGAATTTTGATTAAGTTTATATCAAACGAAATTAAGAGGTGACATTAGTAAAGTCCAAATCACTTTTTTTGTTCAAATAATATTGTCACTTTTTCAAATTGTATGGACTATAAAGATGATGATATTCTTAATATTCAAAGGGAAATCCCTATTAATGAGAAGCATTATGAACTAAAATTCAACCAATTCAAATCACTTTATGAACTAGCTCAATCACATCTAAATGATAAAAATTATATTTTAGCTTGCAATGTTGCATCACGTCTGTCAATCAAATTCATTGAAGACCAAACATATATAGATTATTTAAATGATGTAATGGCTTCTAAAATGTGCTTAGAAATTTTAAATAATTTATCTGTTGAAAATACTTCTCAAGAAGTTGTATATCTTATATGGTTTTTTGAAAAAGTGTTAAGGTATACTCAGATTGAAGAAGAAGAAATTGCAAATTCCAACTTAATTTCAGTTTTGATCCAAGGACTAGATAAGGAGAGAGATGTTTTGTATTATGTTAAAGTTTCATACGAGATGCTTTCCAGTTTGTTTTATAGATTCCCTTCACTTTTGGAAACTTTTTTTGACTGCAATGGCATTGAAATGATGCTAGAACACAAAGAGAGGATTGAATATAAAGATGAAGATATAATACTTCGAAATATTGGCTTTATTACAAATATAATAATTCAAAATAATCCTCCAAAAGAAATTGCAGAAAGATTGAGCGAAATCATAACTATCATTTATGGATATCATATGTATGACATTGGATCTCAAATTATTGCTTCTTATCTTGATAATTTTCCAGATATGATCGAATTTTTTATCGAAAATGATATTTTCGAAATAGTTTTCTCATCGTTACCTTATATAAATGGGAAAATATCCAAAATACCTAGAGAAACGCCAATTGGTGAAAAAATGCAAAAAGATTATGAAATTGATAGAAAATCGATTATTAATTCATATGCAATATATAATATAATCATCTCAAAATTAGATCCATCAATGGTAGATAGAATGATAACAACTTCTACTCTTGAAGAGTTTATTTCGTGTGCAACATCAGATATATGGGATTATTCCATTTATGCAATCAACTTTCTCACAAATTATTCATCAAGAGATCCATTATTTGCTAGGAATTTGTTTGGTTCTAATTTATTTAGATTTTTCATTTCAAACTTGGAAAGAATACCAGCGAAAATTAGGCTTTCTGCCTGCAATCTAATACTTGAAATTTTGCATCTACTATTTACTACTGATGTGATCGTAATCGAGGATCAAATTTGGAAATTATTGATTGATCTATGCTCGGATGCAGACGATCAAACAATAAATAATAAATTAATATGCATATTAGACTCAATTATCGATCAAAATCCTGCTAAATTTGCTGAATTTGCTGAACAAATAGATGACCTTGAATTAGACGAAGAACTCTATTCAAAACAACAACATATTCTAGAATCAATCGCATCTATCGAAGGTTCCACTAATTATTTTTTTGTTTGATATAAACAGACATCACATTGCCTTATATTCTTATGAAAAATATCTTTGTTGATCCTGAAAATCGTTGTTCGATATAAATAGTCATAACATTACCATATGTAACAGGATATGGGATGGCCAATATCTTGAATCTATATGAAGATGCTGTAGAATTCTATTCAAAGTTTTATATTATCCTAAATTAACTAGATTAGCAACCATAAGCGATATTTTATTATTTAGAACCTTGATAGATACATTCACAATCCAAAAAAAAGCACAATATTTACTGACATAGAAAATATCTTTGTTGATCCCAAAAATCGTTATTAGTGTGATATTAATGTTATTTTTATTCGAAGGATAAGAAAACGCGAATATTCTGGAAATCATGGAGAAACTGAAATTGTTGTGCCAAAATTCATTGTGATACTAGCTGTTTGTTCTTTTTCTACTAGTTTTTTTACAACCATCCGGCATCCTCTCAATTTTGTTGACACTCAAGATGTAAATCATAATTTTCTAAGGTAAAAAGTTAGTGTTTTTGGTCAGGAAAAAGTTATTATGAATCAACATATAAATAAAGATTTATTAATAAAGTTATACAACTATTTTCTTCTCAACAATTGATCTTTCAGCTTCTTTATCCTTCTTAATCTTAAGATAGATAAGAACAATTATCACTCCTATAACTATAAGTACAACTAGAGTTACTATCACAGGAACAACAACATTTTTCTTGGATCCTTTATTAAGCAAACCCATTTCGCTCATATCAACTGGATTCATGCCAAGTTTGTTCAATCTTGATCCTTTCTTAATTGAATAATCTCCATTCTTGAAATCGGCGAAATCTTTCTCTGTTGCATTAATATAGTTATTAATGAATACTTCTCCAAAAGTATATGATCCATTGACATATTCTTGATTCTTGAATAAAGCTGCATTCTTTGGATAAATAAAACAATTATCAAAAAACAAAGGCAGAAGGTGGAATAAGTGGAAACTCAACAGTATTATTCTTGTAATACTGATCAATAACAGATAAGTTAGGGTATGATGTTATATAAGGAGGAAGATTTCCTTTGACTTTTGGATTATCACGAATTGTATAGAATCTTGGTCTCAAGAATTTATGGAATGTTTGAGTTCAGCCCAAGCTCTTGCATCAACCCACAATGCAAAAGTGGCATTTACAATTATATTATTTCTCGCATGGTAATCTCTTCCTCCTCCAAGCCATATTGATCTACCAGCATTCACTAATATATTATGTGATATATTTACACCACTTTCACAATCATCCATATAAATTCCTTGGTGTATCTCATTATTTGGAACTAAATCATCAATATAATTGTATCTAATTGTGTTATTTCTTGTTACGTAATTCATACCAGCGTAAAAAGCTGATGTTGGGAATGGAGATTCAAATATATCAGAAATTTCATTATATTCCATCATTATATTATTTCCAGAGAAAAATATTGCGTGTCCAGCTCCATGATGAATATAATTATGTGATATTGTTATACCAACACCTTCAATCCTAAACGCTGGTGTAAACCCATTTCTACTCATGTTACAATACCAATAAACTTCGTTGTTTATAACTTTACAATTTGAATATTTTAGAGTATATTCATCATGAGCTGAATCAACGACAATGGCTTGGCGCATTGTATGATGGATCTTGCAGTTTCTGATTGTGTTGTTATCTCCTAGAATATAAATTCCAACATTTCCAATATTTGAAATTTCGCAATTTTCAATTACAACTGAATTGCACCAGTCAAAGTAAAGTGCAGTACGAGGTGTGAATCCAATACTTATATCTTTAATAACAATATCTGTTATGCCACGAGCTCTAATGATAGCATTAGAATGATTTGATAAAATAATTTCGGTTTTTGAATTAATTTTCCCGAAAGGATAAAAATAAAGGATCATTGTACTATTGTCTATATAGAAATCACCAGGATATCGAAGTTCTTCCAAAATATTATAAAATACTAATTTTGCATTTTTTCCTGCTTTTTGAGGTTTCGCAAAATAAACTTTATGATTGTCATAATCTATTTTAGAAACACTTCTTAAGCTTCCTGTATAATCATAATCCCAATATCCCACGCCATATATATTTGGATGAAACTTCCACGTATAAACTCTGGGATCATTAATATCTACACCATCTGATATTGCAAATGGAAATGGACCCTTGTTAGAAATGTTGACAAAAGTAGAATATCTTGGATAATGTGCAAGATTCATTTGTTGTTTATCAATGTAAAGATGATTGCTTGATGAGTCGTAATTTATAAAATATCCAATTTCCTGAAATGGCAATTGACTTGTAATTCCATATTCTTTTAGATTTATTTGGTAGACTTTTTTCCTCACGCTTTCATCGAGTCGTTTAAGAATGCTTTCATCTTCAACTTTCTTAAAATTACCAAGCTTCACGCCGCCAACTAAACGAGCTTTTCCTTTACCATCAATTAGGGTGTGGTTTTTCTTAATTATAATAGGTTCTGTGATAAAATTCAAGCCTGGTTTGAATGTGATTTCATTATATTCTTCACAGTAGCTTATAAAAAACAGCCAAAATATCATTTTGATCAGATGTTTTGTCCTTCTGAAATTTCAAAGATAAATTAAATTTGAATTTCTGCCAACACGAATAAAAACATTAGCTGTTTTTATCACTGCTTTTTAAAATACAAGTGATCGTTTGAGGACCATATTTTGAATATGAATCGGATTAAGTTAAATGCATTCATTGATATATGAATGAATAGGTTCATTGTTTCACGGACAATTTGAGAAGTTCCATTCAAAATGGATCATTATCGTTTTATTGCCTCATCTATATTTGAATGATGCGCAACTCGAGAATATGTCTGGAGTAATCCAACAACACATTAGTATTTCTTCATTTTATGAACATCTCGGTGATTTATTAATAATTGATACAAAGAAATCACTGAATGGTAAATAAAGCATTGCACAAATTATTTTGTTCTAACTACTCATTTTAGATTTGCTATAGAACTCCTTCAATTTTGATTTTTATTAATTCCTATTGTTGAAAAATCAAAGAGAAATAAACTAATTTAATCAAATTCGGAAATACCCTATGAGGTAATATATAAATTCATATTCACGGTGCTTGGAAAAGAATCCAACAGAAATGAAGTTGTAAACTCTAAAAAAACGTGTTAAAGGTGACACTAGATAACGAAGATGGCCAAACGTTACATTTATTTATTCGATGAAGTTGACCAAGTTGAAGAAAAGGCCGGCTCTTGGGACGGTGTTCGCGCCCTTCTCGGTGGAAAAGGTGCAAACCTTGCTGCCATCTCGAAGGACGGAATTCCAGTTCCAAAAGGCTTCACAATTACAACTGAAGCATGCAACGATTACTACTCCCAAGATCCACCAGCTTTTCCACCAGGAATGTGGGATGAAACTTTAACATATTTACATAAACTCGAAGAACTTACAGGAAAGAAATTTGGCGATACAAAATTACCACTTCTTGTTTCATGCCGTTCAGGTGCTCGTGTTTCCATGCCAGGTATGATGGATACCGTTCTCAACTTAGGTCTCAACGATGAAACAGTCAAAGCAATGATCAATCTTACAAATAATCCACGTTTCGTTTGGGACTCCTTCCGCAGACTTCTCCAAGGCTACGGCGCAATCGTTCTTGGAATTCCAGATGAGGAATTCGAAGAAGCCCTTAAGAAAGGCCAAGAAGAAAAGGGTTACAAGAATGATGCAGACTGGCAGGCCGAGGATTGGGAGAAATTAACAGGAATTTACAAAGAAATCATCGAAAAACATACAGGAAATCCATTCCCACAAGATCCATTTGAGCAAATCCGTGGTGCTGTCGCAGCCGTTTTCGGATCATGGAACTCTCAGCGTGCTATCGATTACCGTAAGAAATTCGGATTCCCAGACTCATGGGGTACAGCTTGCAACATCGTTACCATGGTTTTCGGTAACATGGGTGATACATCAGCTACTGGTGTCGCTTTCAGCCGTAACCCATCAAACGGTGAAGCTTCATTGTGGGGAGATTTCCTTGTCAACGCACAAGGTGAAGATGTCGTCGCAGGTGTTCGTACACCAGAGCCAATTGCCAAACTCGAAGAGAAAATGCCAAGCGCATTCCAACAATTCGTAGAAATCACTAAGAAGCTCGAAAACCGCTTCAAAGATATGCAAGATATCGAATTTACAATCGAAAACGAGAAACTCTGGATTCTCCAGACTCGTAACGGCAAGCGTACAGCCGCAGCTACAGTCAAGATCGCATGCGACCTTGTTTCCGAAGGAATATCACCAAAGAGGAAGCTCTCAAGCGTGTCGAGCCAGGCGATGTCGACCAGCTTCTCCATCCCCACTTTACAGCAGATGATCTCAAAGCTGCCCAACCAAACAAGTTTGCAGACGGTGTCAAGGCATCTCCAGGTGCTGCTGTCGGCCAGATCTACTTCACATCCGACAAATGCCAGGAAGAAGCCAAGAAAGGCAACGACGTCATCATGGTCCGTCAGTTTACAAAGCCAGATGATTTCGGAGGCATGTGTGTCTCCAAGGGCTTGTTCACTGCTGAAGGTGGCGCTGCCTCTCACGCCGCTGTCGTTGCCAGACAGATTGGTATCCCAGCTGTTGTCGGCTGCACAGGAATTGTCATCGATTTCAACGCTTTAACAGTTACCTTTGGAGATAAGACACTTCACGAAGGCGACTGGGCATCTGTCGATGGCTCTACCGGCCAAGTCTTTGTTGGCAAAGTTCCTCTCGTCAAGCCAAACCTTGAAGACCAGAAGGATCTCATGCAGATCTTGACATGGCTGATGAAGTTCGCTCAGCACCAAACTCCCGCAACCATGCAAACGGCGGTCCATCAACGCGGATTGGGTTTGCGCAAATGCTGATACACCGGAAGATGCAACACGCGCAAGATCATTCGGTGCAGAAGGCATTGGTTTGTGCAGAACAGAACATATGTTCCTTGGTGACAGATCCGCAATTGTCCAACGAATGATTTTGGCTGAAAACGATGCAGAAAGAGATGCCGCGTTGAAGGAATTAGAAAATTTACAAATCTCTGATTTCACAGCAATGTTCGAAGCTATGACAGATCTTCCTGTTATCATCAGACTCATTGATCCACCACTTCACGAGTTCCTTCCTGATTTGTTGATCATAACAGAAGAAGTAACAACATTGAGGACAAAGAAAGAACTCGGAATAGCAATTGACGAAGAAGAGCTCGCAAAGAAAGAGAAAATCCTTGCCAAATGCGAACAACTCCATGAAACAAATCCTATGGTTGGATTCAGAGGTGTCAGACTTTGCTTGGTCATCCCTGGATTGCTCAAGATGCAGTTAAGAGCAATTGCAGAAGGTGTTTGCCAGGCATTGGAGAAAGGAGCACATCCACATCCAGAAATCATGATTCCTTTGACATGCCACAACAACGAGTTGGCAAGAATCAAGCCACAATACGAGGAGATCACAAACCAGATCTTCAAAGAACACAACGCTGACATTCACGCAATGTTCGGCACAATGATTGAAGTTCCTCGCGCAGCAGTCATCGCAGATAAGATGGCTGAATACGCCGAGTTCTTCTCTTTCGGAACAAACGATTTGACACAGATGGGATTGGGATTCTCAAGAGATGACGTTGAAGGTGGTTTCTTACAGCAGTACAGAGAGTGGGGAATCTTGGAGGCATCTCCATTCCAGACAATCGACCAGGAAGGAATCGGTCAGTTGATCGACATGGCAGTAGCAAGAGGAAGATCAACAAGAAAGGATTTAACTGTTGGTATTTGCGGTGAACACGGTGGTGAGCCGAAATCAATTGGTTTCTGCCATAAAGTAGGTCTTGATTATGTTTCTTGCAGCCCTTATCGTATCCCTATAGCTCGCTTAGCTGCTGCTCATGCTTGCTTGAATGAAATGGCTAAATAAAATCTTTTTTTATCTTTTTATTTTTTAAAAAATTAAGTTTATATTTTTTTCTAACAATAATTTTAATGGTGCACTTATTGCTTTGTGAAACACTCTTTAAAAGGGGAATATTGGTATGAGAATGGAGAGAAAATAAAACCTCAAACAGAAAAATTGAGGGTGTGTAAGAATGTGATGGATGCATCTTTAATTGATATGTTTCTGGAAAAAAAATTGTATCTTGCGAAAAATGATTTGACAAATGTAAAAGATATATAGGGTGTCCAAAGGTGTGTTTAGCACAAACCTGAATACTGCGAATAGAAATAAACAAGTTACATATATATATAAAGTTTATTTAAATATAATCACCATTGGATTCAATCACGCGTTCGCAGCGATCGATCCAGGCTTGAAAGACACGCTTTAAATCATCATGAGAAAATTGCTCAAATTGCTCTCTTACAAAATTTTCAAGATCATCTGGACTCGCGAATTCGCGTCCTTCAGCTCTCTTTTTTAGCGTGCCGAATAAATAAAAGTCAGAGGGTGCAATATCAGGTGAATAAATTGTGTTTGGAACAACTTTGACATTGTTTTCCACCAAGTAATTCATTACCTTATGACTTTTGTGAACTCTTGAATTATCAAAATGAATTGCAAACTTTTGTTTTTGTTGTTTGGATTTCTCAAACTCATCAGAATTGATAATTTGAGTAAGAACATTGTCAATTAGATACTGAGCATTCATCGTATTAGGTTTTTGAAGAATATCAATTGCGATGATGCCATTCACGCCCCAAAAAACCGACAACATCATCATTGGTGTGTCAATTTTTTTCTTCGGGAATGTTTGCGGATTTTCATCCTTCGGGATCCACATGATTTTGGCTTCTGTTGCATATTGAAACCAAGACTCGTCCCCTGTTACTAAAAAGCGAAACTTCTTGGATTGATACGCACCCAATATAGAGAGGAGCTCTTTCGAAGATTGGACTCTAGATTTATTTTGAACTGAATTAAGGTTGTGCGGAACCCAACGTGTATACGCTAGTTTGTAGTTCAAATAATTGTGCAGATAATAACTGACTGTTGTACGTGGTATCTTTGTCATCTCCTCTATCCTTCTGAGTGATGCTCTTGGGTCTTCATCTAGCGCTTGAAGAATTGCTTTGATTTTTCTTTGATCCGGCGATTTTTTGTCAATTTTTATGATGGGCGCCTTTTTGTTCATGAAGTGATACATCCTAACATGATATGTTACAGTGGAATAGCTAGGAGCATCCATACCGAAGCATTTTACCAATGTCTCGTAGATTTTTTTACAGTCTTTGCATTTTTTTGCAAGAGCGAGGATGTTTTCTTTATGATTCATTAAAAAAATAAAAAAAAATCCCGCCAAAATTTCCCGCGAAACCGCCTCTTGTCTCAAAATTCATTTTATATCCCGGCATGGCGCCAAAATACAACATACTCATCATATACATATATTCATATTTTTTATTATATATTTATAATCAGCATATATCTCCTTTAATAGTCTCATATAGAGCGCTGTGCTAAACGCACCTTTGGACACCCTATATTATCCTATGAGATCATAATGTATTTGAAAATTAATGATTTTGCGCATCATTTACTTCTTATGATGCTGATTTTCATAAAACAGAAGAAATTTTTTGAAGCTAAAAAACTTGATAAAATCATGAAAATTCCATTCAATTTTCATTTTGAAACTCAATATTAGATCTGTGAAACATCATCACCAAATATTACCATACATATATTGCAATAACTTACTTCAACCTAGAATAATCATGATATGTATTGGTGAATATAAAATATTATCCAATCATTAATCTAAATAATTTAATATTATAAGATTCATCAATTGATCAAATAAGAATTAATCGGTTGATATCTATGAGTAATTATATTAAATATTTGAGAGTTTAAAGGTATAAAAAAAAATAAATAAAATATCAAAGCAAATCAAATCAATGCACTTGTATCTAATATATTTCATAATAATATCAATACATTTGAAGATTCAAGCTTGTTAGATGTCCCCTTATCTTTATAATATAATTAATTTGATATGTTCAAATTTGAATATTTTGTATCAAGTATTAAAGACTGCATGAAAATGCAAGGGTTGGAATCATCACAGGCAGTTGGCTTATGCATGATTACAGTTTCATACCATTTGCTTACATCATCAAAACTATTGTCAAATTTAGTACCATAGGTTTCATAGTGAGTTGGAATATCTGAAAATAAATTTACACCCTGACCCAATCTATCTCCTTTTATCTTTACTCCTGCCGCAGCTAGAACTGTTGGCATAAGATCAAACGACGTAAACAATCTTTCATAAGTATTATTTGACTTTAATTCTGAATTGATGATAAGGTCATATGATGCTCTTTTATAGTTTTGCGCTTTAGCAATTTCTTTAATACCAATCTCCCTTGTCACATGATCACCAAATATCATGAAGACAGTATTATTGTACCATTGTTGATTTTTTGCCCAACTTAAGAAATTTTTCAATTGATTATCGGCACATTTTGCCGCCTGAAGCATCTTATTATCTTCTTTAGGGCATAAATAGCACGAAAAACCTGGCTCATGAGTATCAATTGTTGACATGTATGCAAAGAAAGGTTTTCCTTGTTTTGGTAGAAAATTGAGTTCAGTTTTGAAAATGCCATATGTTAAATAATCATCGATCCAAAAATTATTGGTTTGATTTTTCAAGATTTCTCCCACAACATTAATTCTTTGATAATGATGATAATCAAATACATGACCATATCCCCGGTCAAATGGAGGACATCCATATGTCGCTGAAGTAATATAATTCGCTTCGTTTAGTAACTCTCCTAAACATGTTAAATTGTTTAAATATCCTTCTGTCATTCCATTTGGCTTATTCTTCCCCATGAAAGGAGCACCACATAATGCCGCAAATGTGCTTCCTAAAGTATACCCTGTTCTCCATAGTGTACTCATTCCCCCAAGTTTTGGATATTTCAAATGTGAAAAATGGACATTATTTTTATCAAGTGCCATCTCTTCCATGTTCTTAATTATTATATTGTTTATACAACCACCATTCTTTGTCGAATAGTAAGTAGTATCCAAAGATTCCAAACCAATCATAATTATATTTTTCTTTTTTGTGGGGAATTGAAGAAGAGAGTTATGTGGTGTTACCATGTTTTTTTCAAAGAGAAAATCAGATTGCTCTACTTCTATAGGTTTCACAATGATTGAGAAGAAATATATAACTGAGGCAAGATATAAAAGAGGTAAAAAGCGAAAATGCAGTCGAAAACGAATTGAAGTTTTCTTAATGATAAATGTTTTGTTACACAGAAAATAGTAATGAATCGTGAATGCGAAAGATGGAAGGAAACAAGTCAATGCATATTTTTTGAAAAATGTGACAAAAACGACATTGTTGCTTTTGTAAGTTTTTCTTTGCTCTAGGAGCATCATGAAGATATCTTCTTGAACAGGTCCTAATGTTTCATAAATATTCTTGAAAAATGCTGAAAGTAAAGTAAATATAATTACAAAAGCTACTGTTTCAAAAATTAAATAAAAATTATATAAAGGCGTCAGTGTGACAATTTTAGGAGAGGATCCGTTGATACTCCTTATATATATCCCGTATAATGCCGTAAATATAGGAATTACGTAGAGAAATTCATTTTTTTGCAATTTTGCGGAAAAGACAGTATTGAATGGTTTAATGAAAAAGAAGGAAATAATCCAAGTTATTGATACGGTAATCTTGATAATATTTGTTAAAATTTTTTTAAAAATCGATATAAAATTATTGCTAGCTGCTAGAATATCTTGAAACAAGCCAATGTGATAAAATAACACAGTAATGCTATAGAATATTATCAGCTTATGTATGGCCATGACTATGAATCTGAATAGAATCGAAAAATCAATTCAAATATAATTGAGATTGCAATAGAAAACTTTCAATATGAATAAGTTTTTTTAGAGATTCATTAGTCAAGCTGCATTGACGTATATATTTATGTATTAAGAAATTATAGAACGATAAAGATCATTTATTATTCTAATTCATTTGCTCTCAAAATTAACAAGTCAATTTAGTTTTGCGTTTTCAAAGCCATATTTATGATTCCTTTTAGCCAAGCTAATTATATCCCGTGAAAAGGGATTAGCATTTATTTAAAAGTAATTTGTTAGTTATAATCGTGAATTTAAAAAAAATTAATATATTGGTACACAAACGAAATATTTTTAATATTATAAGATCATTATTTTTTGTGATAGTAAAGAATTTTTTCTGAGCTTTTAGAATTTAAATGTATTTATGATTTTCAAAATTACATTCAAAAAACGCGTCACTAAACAAGTGTAAATTAAAAAGGGTTATCATTTCTAAATTGTAAAGACTATAATCGTAAAGACGACACTCACAAATTGGATTACTTGTCAAATAATTTTATTGCGCTGAAATAAATAATAATAGTATTCGATAAAAATTTTCCGAGCTAATGAAAAAAAAAGTTCATGCAAATGTTAAGGGTGCACCCGCATGTACGTTTATTTGAGAGGAAGAGGATTACCCTCTCAATTTTGAGGGATTCGTTAGTTTATTTTCTCGATGAATATGCAATAAAATTTGATTTTTACCTTATCAATATACTTCATATAATATACACATGTTCATGTAAAAACTTTTTTCCAAAATCCTCAGGAATTAAGGGATTTTTGAATTTTAAGAATTTTTTTCGAATTTTTTCGAAAAAAAAATATTTTCAGAACAGCCTTAACGGCTAAGATTTAGGAACAATGTTAAGTATCAAAAAGAAAGGAGGTCTGATATAGACAACATATATCGTTGAAAGTTGAAAAAATCTCTAATATTTGAGCCCAAAATTTCAAATTTTAATTTTTTGAAAAAAGAGGCCACCCGTATGTACGTTTATTTGAGAGGAGGATTATATTTTTGAAAGGGTGAAACATTATGAATATGTTAATTATATAATAATATGTATTATTCTAAAAAAGAAAAAATAAAGCACGTTAAAATTTTTCTTTCTTGATTTTTTACAAAATCTACTTAGAATTATGCAAAATATGACTAAATAATTATAAATTTCAAGTTAAATTTTAATTTTGATAAATAATTTAAATTTCAAAATATCAAGTTCAGTTCGACTATGTATGTAGTAATTCCTCAATAAAGTGCCAAAACCCTATTAAAATATATGAACATTTTCAATATTTTAATGTTTTTATTTAAAAATTTGATGGAATATGAGCTTCAAACAATTATTATGTAAATAAAAATAATTAAATATATGTATTTATTCGTATTACAACCGTAGTAAGTCGATTCTTCCTTTCTTCTACTGAGTTTTGAATTTGATTTCGAATTGTAAAGAGATTCAAAGGGAAAATACTAGCGGATAAAAACTACCTCCATGAAAGGGTCATAATGGAGTCATGTTGTATTTTTTGATATTTTTTGCTTTTCGAGCCTAAATAGGTAGCCAAGATAATGCCTAAAAATAAGGTTCTAAATTCTGAAGTTTACATGATCCTCTCGTGTGCACCCTTAAATATATAAAGTACTCACAAAATCTAGATTGAGAGGCGGTCAATGACTTTTGAGGGGAAATTAACGCATGGAATTTAATATTATTTAGGTTGATATTCTTGCTTATTATTTCAGAAAAAAAATCTTAAAAATTTCAATAAGAAAATTGAAAGCAATTCAAAAAAATTGCTAACATGTAAATTTTAATATCCTATGCATAATTTCATATTTTGAACATTTTTTATTTTTGTTTAAAACTTAAAATTTTGCGAATTTAATATAATTTATAAAATATAATCCGTATATATATTTAAAATACACTAAATTTAATTGTTAATTGACGTTTTTGGGAATGAATTTTATCAAAACATGCCTGAATCCGAAAATTTGAAAGAACGAATTACACAATCATATATGTAGAATTCAAAATACAAACTTAAAGATTGTATACGTTTAAAATTATTCAGATTGTGTTTGATTTCCACTCATTCTGTTTCTTTTGAACTCTAACACTAACATTTCATGATGATTACATGATCCATTTATACATGGTTGAATTGTTCCAGATTCTACCAGAAAATCAATCCAAATTTCTCAATGCATTCATGTTGATTGGACAAAATTTAAAATTTATCAGCCTGTTTCCAGAGAAACTCATATATTCCCTAATGAAATGTAATTTTTGCTACATTTATTTCAATCAAATTTCAAAAAATTGACTGCAGAGCTTGAAAAGGTGATGAATCATGTTGTTATTAGATGTACATATTAGATTTACTATTTCCAAAAAATGCTCAAATTTGAATAGTTTTTAGAAAATTTGGAATTACACTCCTTACATTATATATAATTAAATGTTTAAATTTTATTTATTTTTCCCTTTTAATTTTATAACGTGCTCTATCAAAACTAACCTCTCAATTGAAGGCCACAAAATCTAAGTAGTGAGGGTACACAAATTTTGTATGGAGTACGGTTCAATTTTTGAGAGCCTCACTACTTAGATTTTGTGACTACCTTATATATATAAAAATTATTTATTCAACATTATCTTTGATAGATCCAAACATTTCGAAATTACACATTCCCAAATAGTTGTTTCCACTTGTATTCAAGTCAATCTGTCTTATTCTAAAGTACCTGTAAAACCTAGATTTTGAGCATTTAAATGTTCCAACATTAAATTGGCCATTTAATATAGAATTGTCTCTTTGTTCATCAACCATTGACCAATTTGTTGCGTCATCTGATCCTTCGAGTACCCAGTTCTTTATATGGCTGCAGCTGTTTCCGTCAGACTTAATAGAGTACCACGTAGGAGCAATTCTTTTGTTTTTGAAGTCCATTTGTATCCAAGAGTCAGGAATGTTCCTTGTATAGAACCATCCGGTCCAATTGTAATCAAGGATGTTCCAGGGATGACTCCTTTCTTTGCTGCTACTCGTGATCTCTACAACCCTGGCCGCATGTGGATTTTGACCGGTTTCTTTGGTCATTTCATGGATTATACCTTCAAATGGATTTCCCGTGAATTCTATCTTCTTAACTTTATCATCTACGATTGTTTCTTCTGGTTTGAAACCTGTAAAGTACCTCTTTACGTCAATTGTCGATTGAACAATATCATGAGTTAATCTTTGAGTCAGAGCGGACCATACAGGGCCTGTAAGGTTTTTGTGGTTAACGACTTTGAGGAATCTGGTCACTCCTGATGTAGAAAGGTACTCAAAATTAATATTATGAAATAGAAAGGCCGCATTTTGGTTTTCGTTGGATTTACATATGTCAAATATGAGTTCGGCAAGCCAATCTTCGTTTTCAATCAGTAAATTCGGGCTTGAAAGTATCTGATCAATTAGATCAAGATCTAAATCAAGTAATTCGCTTCTAGGTAAGAATGATATGTTCTTTGCTGCATAATCAACTTCATCGGTAATGTTCAGAGTATGATTGGACTTTTCTTTAATGATTTGAATGATATTTTTTGGAGAATACGTAGATTTTGTAGAAATTGCTTTGTCAACAGACTCTACAATCTCAGAATTTTGTAATGCGGTTCCTATTTCTTTAATGTACTTTGAATTTTGGGAATTAATATCAAATTTTTGTCCGGAAAGAAGTTTTGCCATAAAAGATTCAATCATTGTTGGATTATTGCATGATGTATCAATCAAAAAACTTGAAATGAGCTGATCTTCTTTAAGTAATTTTGTAATTATCGGCGAAATAAATGCGGCTACGTATTTGGCGCAGTTAAATTGAATACTACCGATATTAATGACAAAATTGTCTTCTTCATTCACAGGTAATGCAGCTATATTCGCAAGCCCATTCGAGGAAAGAGAGAAAGACATTTCACAATAAAATTTTTCAATTTACATCGACCAAAATTTATCTCAAATAATAAATATTTCAAACTTTCAATAGTTTACAAAATTTATATGAAATCCTTTACCAAAAATTGCAATAAAACTCAATATTGGACTTTAAATTTCGATCCATTAAAACTACCTATCTAAGAAACCTTCTGTATCCGATAATTTACTATCAAATTCCATTATAATATTTTTCTTATCAATATTATGATAGAAAAATGATTAAAATTTCATTTCTTCAGTATTTTTACATATGAAACATGCAGTTTTCTAATGCTGAACTAAATAAAACAAACTTTGAAACTAATTTTGAACATTTGACAGTTTTCCCCAATAAATGCTTTTCAAAACCATTCAAATTAGACTGAAACAACAATATCATTTTGGTGAAATGCCTTAAAGATAGTGTGAATTCATATGAATTACTGTGAATTCACACAATTTTGATGTGAATTCATACTTCTCAATTTCAAGAAAATTTTGAATTAACTGTAAGAACAAATCACTTTGCAACAATGCTGCGCAGAAAGATAGCCTCATTCGAAGCCGGTTTTCTTCCATCAAACTATAACATAGCCGTCGGACTCAGATGTAAGGATAAAAAGAGTGTTGACTTAGTTGTGGATAAACTTGCCAAATCTTTCTGCGGTTTCCACACACATATTGAAGGTGATGAATTTGTATTCAAGCCACGTGATGTCCCAGTATACAAATTACCATCAAATGTTACTTCCCTTCAAGATCAAATTAATTATTTGGAAAATAATTTCATGAAAAACCCATCCCAAATTATGAGTTCCATTGCTATATCGGATAATAGCGTAGTTTTCTCAGCATCACATGGACTTTATGATGGAACTACAGTTAAAGATTTCATTAATAGTTTAAGTGACGGAAAAGAATTGCCAAAGCTCAAGCTTCCTGAATCTATTTTTGATCCATTCCTCAAAGAAATCCAATCCACAAAATGCACCATTCCAAATTACTTCACAGACAAAGATGCTCTCAGATTTACATCATCTGATAATGATTTCAAGAGTATTCCAGGAAATTCAACTGTTATCAATGAAATATTATATGACAACGAGTTCCAGATCTATGATAAGAAAGACAAAAAACTACACGGCTTGACGGAAGCTTCATTTTCTTCATTAGTTCTTGCTGTTAGTGCATTGAATGGGAAATTCGAAAAGACAGGATTGTTGGAAGTTATTGGAATGAGGAACAATGCAAGCAAGAATCTTGACCTCAGACAAGGACAGTACATTGCAAATATTCCAATCAGTATCAAGGCCACAACGGATACAACTATTAGAGAAATGATGAATCTTTACAGAAAGGACATGAAAGAGAAATTGGCAAACAAAGCAACATTCCAATTCATGAAAGGAATGAAGGACGGTTTCCCAGAAGGACCAATCATCAATGGAGCACCAATTATTTTGTCTTCAATTGGTAACTTCACTGTACATGGCCCATTAACTGATGCATATATGATGACAACATCATATGGTGATGTTCCATTTGCACATTTGCCAATGATTATGTACAGTGTTGATGATGGTAAAAAGAAGAAGTTTGTTTTATCTTGCAACTATTCAACAAAGACGCTTAGTTCAAGAGAAGGAACAGCATTTACTGCACTTACAGCATATTCCTTGAAGAATATCGATCTGAACATGAAGATTGGAGAAGCAGTCGATAGATTAATTGAAGAAAAGAAGAACATTTATAAGAAGACAAATACAATTGATAGAGTTATAAAGTTCTAAATAAATTTTTTTTTGTGTGTGTATGTGTCATTTAGCTATTCCGTAATTCCATTTCTATTAAGAACTTCAACAATTTCTTGTTTTCCAAGACTAATTGCATATTGGAGGGGAGTTTCGTTATTTTTGTTTTTAGCATGTTTATCTATATTGGGATGCGAGATAAGAAATTTACAAATATCTATACGATTATAATTAATGGCATCATGAAGAGGTGTATAATCTTCGTTATTCTTGTCATTAATATCAATAAAGTTCAGAGCAAATTTTACACCTTCGAGATTTCCTTCTTGACAAAAATAATGAAGAATTGTTCTATTAGTGTAAGATCTACTGCGAATATCCACATCTTGATTAAACAAATACTTTACAAGACATAAATTATTCTGCCGTGCGGCTTCGAGAATCATATTTTTTTCATATTCATCTCGAACATCAATATATTTTTCATCAACAGCAAATTTTATTGTTGTAGGATCTTCTTCCAATGATGCTTTTTTAAGAACTTTATATATTTGATCGAAACTATCTTTTGTCTTATTTAAACTTCTTAAAATTCTTACATTTTCATCTGATTTATCGACTTGATGGAATTCTTCGATATGAGATAGTTCGAATTTATTAGAAATAGTTTTTAAATTATAATCAGCGACATTAGAAAGTTGAAGTTTGCATGGAACTGCTTCTGCACTATGGTAATTGATCTTAGAAATTTGAAGCTTATGAGGAATTGATGAACGTTTAAGAAGTGCACATCCGAAGACTTCATTTGAGATGGATTCTAAACTGTGTTTTTCTGAAAAATCTTTGATTGATTTGATAATATTATTACTGCAATATTCAACTCTGACATAAACAAGGAGTGAAAAGAATGAATTATCATACTCACTCAGTGTTATGATTGTATTGACTAATGAATCTTCATTTGATACCTTGAGAGATTCAGATGTCAAAACTTGCTCAAAAAAGTCGTATCCAAATCTTTTGATAATATCGATCTTATACTCTTCTTGAAGATCAAACATTTTTGAAGCGAAAAATGAAATGCATTCTTTAATCTTTTCTGTATCTTTTTGAATTATATAACAATCATAGATATCAATAACGTTTTCTTCATTAATTTCCTTGTGAATTGACATAATATGCTCACAAAACTTGTCTGTCAAGAATTTAATCCCGAAAGCTTTGCTAATTTCAAATATATCTCGAAATTGTTTTTGATTATTCTCGTATCTGAGAATTCCAGTTTTGAAAAATTCTGATATGATGTTTATTGAATTGCTGTATGATATATTTAAAAATTTACTAACTGATTTAACTGAACAATCGCGCAAATATTCATCATGTACTAAATCTGAAATCATAATTGAGACAAACTTTGATATTTCTATTCTTTCATCATTAATAATGAAGGTAAATGGTTCTTTATTTTTAATATCATTACATCGCTCGATCTCCGAATACCTAATTGTGATGAAATTCATAATATATTTTAAATTTTTTTTATCATTTCACTTCATCAATTGAAATATTGGGAACTATACTCTGGTTTCGAATTTCACTTGATGTCATTTGGAAGTTCACGCAATACATATTTCTATCTTAACTAAAAAGATTAATTTGGAATTACTGCACTTTATTTTGCAATATTTTCTGTTGATGGGAATTCAATTTTGCCAAATTTAGATAGATCTATCAATTAATAAGTAACTTTGAGCGTAAACAACTAGTTCCCTGGTCATTTTAGAATATAACTTGAGCATATAATGAATAATAAAATCATATTGAATGTTTTTTATATTTACATATGGACAAACAGCTCTTTATGTTGCAATTAAAAATAATAAAGAAATCGACGAAGTTCTTGTTTCTTACGGTGCAAATATCAATCAAAAAATATCAAAACAGAAAAAAAAACACTCTTAATTATTTGAATCAAATAATTTCCTTTAAAACATTCATTTTTTGAACACTTAATATCATTATTTGGATCCATATTATTGAACCGTATTAGATACAATTCACAAAGATATGCATAATGGTAAAGATAATTATATTTAGACCCGTTCAAATTATTTTCAGAAATATTTAATGCCTCATTATCGTTAGATGTTAGATTATCATAGAACGAATTTTTAACAGTTACATGAGAATTATAATGAATGTAAAAAAATTGTCCGTTTCCCAAAGAGTGGGGGACAAACTCGCCCATTGTCACTTTTCATTAACCTTAAACTTGTAATTTTCATTATTTTTAATTAACCTTATTTCTTTCCCAATTCCTGATTTATTTTATTCACTTACTATTAAAAGTCACATTTTAATAAAATATAATAATTTATTTATAGCATTTTTTACTATACTGTAATAAAAAATTAATTATAATAAATTAAATGTTTATTAAATCAAATGTTTTCTTTGCAATAATATTTTTAATGTTGAGTAAACAATGTTGGGATCAAGTGTATCATTTTTCAGACCTTTCTGAACAGCTTCAAGCATACTGATGCATTCGACTTTTTTAAATTGTGTCATTTCTTCGAAATCTCTTGTGACTTTTTTGATAACTTTAACACTTCTCTCTGAATCCAGACCTTTAATTTGCAACTTAATCAGGAATGAAGGAACAACACTGGAATATAACTCGATGACAAGTTCATCGAGTCGAAGATTTCGCCTTTCTGGGAAGTACTGGTGCTTCAAAACCTTGAAATGTGATTCCGAGATGTTGTTTGTTCCATCTCCTTCATTTATATAGCGGAGCATCCACCTGTCAAGATGATGGCGCCACTGTCGGTCAAAGTATTCACGGGCAGCAGGTTCCTCATTTAAAATTTCTTCTAAATTGTTGTAAATTTCATCAGGATCAATTTCTTCCTCTTCAGAACCAAAGACCAATAACTTCATTAAGTTATAGAAAGTTTCGAAGTTGGAACGATCTTGAAACTTTTCAGCCTTTCTCATGACAGCGCGCAGCACATGAACGCCACACCAAATGATCTGGCATAAGGGGATGGCTGTTTCAACAGCATTTGTGATTTGAGGTGCGCAGTCCATTGAAAAATAAGATGGTTCGCGATTGATGGAGCCAAAATATGCTGTGAGACAAACTTGTATATTTTCACTTGTGTCGGGCCAAACGAAAAAATACAAAAACGGAAAAACAATTGATTCCGCGAATTTGCCAGTGACGGCATAAAATGGTATGCGAGAGCGCAAGAGCTTATAAGTGGAATCAATGTGATAAGTTTGTATTTGATGTGAAAAAGCATTTGCTTCGAATGGGGCGTAATAGAAAATCATACGATCTGGCTCGTGAATAAACTCGATGAGATCATCTGGAGAATGACTCTTAACCATGTCGACAAAAATTGCAAGAGATGTAACATCATCCGCTGAGAAACGGGTATTGATTGCATGAAGGCGTTTAGAAAACTTTTTTAAAGCATCTGTAGATTGTTGAAACATTTCCGGAATGATCCCACTCTCAAATGGGATATTAAGATCTTTGAAACACCCTAATTGTGCGTAAACACGGTCTTGATTTGATTCAAAATATCTTGTTAAATAAGATCTAGAAAAATATGATGTAATTTGTTGTGATTTGTTTGGAAAAGGGGCAGAATGATTGTGGGTGTTAATACATTTTCGTATGTGGTACTTGTCATCGGGAAGTGTATCAACAAGGAAGCGACATGGACAATTCGGCCACTTACAATTAAATTGGATTTGATTTCTTTCTTTCCTAGTTTTATATGAATAACTACAACCTGCTTGTATTTCTTGTTGCACTCCATACTTAAGCAACTCGATATATGTGAGTTCGTGATCTTGGATCTGCATTAAAATGAAATGATTTGAAAGAATAAAGAATTTTGAATATATTGGTCTTATTTTGATAAGCTTGGTCGTGTTTTGAATAGCTTGGCCATCTAATTCAATTATGATCTTTGAAAATTAGGTGAAATAAAACTAAACATAAATGTAAAACTAGGGATATGAAATTTTGGTTGTACACCACTTGTATGTGCCGGATACCATTGTGTCAAATTTTTTCTGAAATTAACTTTAAAAGTACTAAGTAAGATCATGAGATATAGCAATATATGTTTAAACCAACTTATATTTTGGTTGTACACCACTTGTATGTGCCGGATACCATTGTGTCAAATTTTTTCTGAAATTAACTTTAAAAGTACTAAGTAAGATCATTTATTTTTGCATAATATAATGCCAATATGGTTTCTTTTGATTTTATTTCATTTATAAGCAAATCAGATTTACCCAAAAACTCCACTCCATAAGCGTTCATTTGCTAAATTAAAAAGTGACAATGGGCTAGTCTGTCCCTTTCTCGTTTCCCAAATCTCCTAATATTGAGCATCTATTTAATGTCAATTGAGCGAACGCATCAATAACTGCATTATCTCTTCTTAACTGAAAGTTTTTTAAAATATATAAAATAGAGCTGTATAAACTCCTTTTCTTTTGTAAAGTCTCTTATTCAAATTTTTGATAGAGGTTCACTCAATATTGAGGCAGAAAAACGATAGGGAGACTTTACGTAGGAAAATGGGTTTATTTTGAGGATTGAAAATTGTGAACCTAAGACGCACACTTTTACATATTATCTAATATATGATGATATTAAGGGATATTTGTTTTTTTTTTTATGATATTTTGAAAACTTTTAGAAAATACAAATCAATCTATTAATTGAATATATCCTTTTATCTATATTCAAAGAATCAATTGATTTAGAATGATTGGCAAAAAAATCTTGAATAATACAAGTATCTTGGTGTTCTATCGCCATCGGCTTTTCTATTGTTACTGTATCATTTTATATCCATGGACTTAATCATTCATAAATTATATATCCGAAATCTTTATGGTCATTGTTTTTTTAAATGTACAACATAGTATTTTTTTTCTAATGAATTTAAGGGTATTTTTATGGTTAATTATAAGTGTACCCTTTTTAAAAATTATTAATGTCGGACCAAGACGTTCATCCAAACGAATTCAGCAAACTGCGAAGTATCTACAAATACTACATAGATTCATATCTTGCATTGTATCAGCTGAAAACGGAAAAAGAAGAAGAATTAAAGTCAATTTACAAAATGATCAAAGCAGAATTGATTGATTCAAAGAAATATCTCCCCACAATTGCTATTAAAGAAATTTTAGATATCATTCTGTTTAATAATCGCTATACAAAGTCATATTTATTTCTTGCCAAACTCATATCTGATGATTACCATGTCACAGAGGTCAGCAATGTGGCAACTATTCTAAACTTCCTGTTTTATAAAGAATATGGAATTAAATTAGACAAATCTGCCAATTTTAAAGAATTTAACTCAAAAAATCTGGATATTCATACAAAAAATACAATTTACAGAGCTATAGGGTGTCCAAAGGTGCGTTTAGCACAGCGCTCTATATGAGACTATTAAAGGAGATATATGCTGATTATAAATATATAATAAAAAATATGAATATATGTATATGATGAGTAAGTTGTATTTTGGCGCCATGCCGGGATATAAAATGAATTTTGAGACAAGAGGCGGTTTCGCGGGAAATTTTGGCGGGATTTTTTTCATTTTTTTAATGAATCATAAAGAAAACATCCTCGCTCTTGCAAAAAAATGCAAAGACTGTAAAAAAATCTACGAGACATTGGTAAAATGCTTCGGTATGGATGCTCCTAGCTATTCCACTGTAACGTATCATGTTAGGATGTATCACTTCATGAACAAAAAGGCGCCCATCATAAAAATTGACAAAAAATTGCCGGATCAAAGAAAAATCAAAGCAATTCTTCAAGCGCTAGATGAAGACCCAAGAGCATCACTCAGAAGGATAGAGGAGATGACAAAGATACCACGTACAACAGTCAGTTATTATCTGCACAATTATTTGAACTACAAACTAGCGTATACACGTTGGGTTCCGCACAACCTTAATTCAGTTCAAAAAAAATCTAGAGTCCAATCTTCGAAAGAGCTCCTCTCTATATTGGGTGCGTATCAATCCAAGAAGTTTCGCTTTTTAGTAACAGGGGACGAGTCTTGGTTTCAATATGCAACAGAAGCCAAAATCATGTGGATCCCGAAGGATGAAAATCCGCAAACATTCCCGAAGAAAAAAATTGACACACCAATGATGATGTTGTCGGTTTTTTGGGGCGTGAATGGCATCATCGCAATTGATATTCTTCAAAAACCTAATACGATGAATGCTCAGTATCTAATTGACAATGTTCTTACTCAAATTATCAATTCTGATGAGTTTGAGAAATCCAAACAACAAAAACAAAAGTTTGCAATTCATTTTGATAATTCAAGAGTTCACAAAAGTCATAAGGTAATGAATTACTTGGTGGAAAACAATGTCAAAGTTGTTCCAAACACAATTTATTCACCTGATATTGCACCCTCTGACTTTTATTTATTCGGCACGCTAAAAAAGAGAGCTGAAGGACGCGAATTCGCGAGTCCAGATGATCTTGAAAATTTTGTAAGAGAGCAATTTGAGCAATTTTCTCATGATGATTTAAAGCGTGTCTTTCAAGCCTGGATCGATCGCTGCGAACGCGTGATTGAATCCAATGGTGATTATATTTAAATAAACTTTATATATATGTAACTTGTTTATTTCTATTCGCAGTATTCAGGTTTGTGCTAAACACACCTTTGGACACCCTATATTATGTATAATGACAAAGAAAGATTCATCTCATTCACAGAGCAAGAAGGATTTGATAAAAATCAAAGACTTAATAGTAAATTATATCCAGATTATTATAGTGGATATTCATTACTTGAATTATGTTGTTACCATGGAGCTGTTGATTGTTTCAAGCTGTTAAGAACAAAATTTAAATCCGAAATAACTCAAAAATGTCTTCAATTTTCATTTTTAGGAGGAAATTCAGAGATCATGAGTGAATGTTTGAAATATCAAAAACCAGATGAAAAATGCATGAAATGTGCAATTATTTCACACAACATTGATTTTGTTACATTCTTGATGAATGAATACAATATAGAGATAGATTTACAATATTGTGGAATGTATAATAATCTTGAATCATTTTTAGTTTATTTCGATCAAACTAATGATATAAGCAAATGCTTTGTTTATTTATCGATTTTTAATATTCCATCCCTTTTCGAATACTTCCTTTCACGCGGTGCGAATATCAATGAAAAATTTAAATATGGAAAAACCGCACTTCATATTGCAGCAATGTTTAATAGTAAAGAAACTGCAGAATTTCTTATTTCACATGATGCGAATATCAACGAAAAAATTGAAGATAGAAAAACCTCACTTCATATTGCAGCATTGAATAATAGTAAAGAAACGGCAGAAGTTCTTATTTCACATGGTGCGAATATCAATGAAAAAGATAAATATGGAAAAACTGCTCTGCATTATGCAGTAGAAAATAATTGTAAAGAAACTGCAGAAGTTCTTATTTCACATGGTGCAAATATCAATGAAAAAGATGATGATGGCTATACTGCTCTTCATATTGCAGCATGGTATAATAGTAAAGAAACGGCAGAAGTTCTTATTTCACATGGTGCGAATATCAATGAAAAAGATAAATATGGAAAAACTGCTCTGCATTATGCAGTAGAAAATAATTGTAAAGAAACTGCAGAAGTTCTTATTTCACATGGTGCAAATATCAATGAAAAAGATGATGATGGCTATACTGCTCTTCATATTGCAGCATGTATAATAGTAAAGAAACGGCAGAAGTTCTTATTTCACATGGTGCGAATATCAATGAAAAAGATAAATATGGAAAAACTGCTCTGCATTATGCAGTAGAAAATAATTGTAAAGAAACTGCAGAAGTTCTTATTTCACATGGTGCAAATATCAATGAAAAAGATGATGATGGCTATACTGCTCTTCATATTGCAGCATGGTATAATAGTAAAGAAACGGCAGAAGTTCTTATTTCACATGGTGCGAATATCAATGAAAAAGATAAATATGGAAAAACTTCACTTCATTATGCAGCTCAGAATTGTAGTAAAGAAACGGCAGAAGTTCTTATTTCACATGGTGCGAATATCAATGAAAAAACTCAAGATGGAGAAACTGCACTTCATATTGCAGCATTGAATAATAATAATGAAACCGCAGAAGTTCTTATTTCACATGGTGCGAATATCAATGAAAAAGATAAATATGGAAAAACTTCACTTCATTATGCAGCTCAGAATTGTAGTAAAGAAACGGCAGAAGTTCTTATTTCACATGGTGCGAATATCAATGAAAAAACTCAAGATGGAGAAACTGCACTTCATATTGCAGCATTGAATAATAATAATGAAACCGCAGAAGTTCTTATTTCACATGGTGCGAATATCAATGAAAAAGATAATAATGGACAAACTTCTCTGCAGTATGCAGTAGAAAATAAATGTAAAGAAACTGTCGAAGTTCTTATTTCACATGGTGCGAAAAAATAATGTTCTTACATGAGATATTCTTTAGTTTTCTGGTATTTTCGGAGAAGATTTTCATTAGGGGGTACATTAATCGTTTTGACGCATTATTTGCACTTGAGTTTGTTAGATGTGATGAGTTATATTATATTCATTCTCATCATTTTAATATCAAAAATCAATTATAATCGAAAAACAGTAAGCTAAGCTAAAGAATTTTTTTATTTGAAGATAAAAGATGAGACATCCTTAGTTGTAAAATGAAATCAATTTATGAGATCCTATTGTTGATGAACATATCAGCATTCTTCAATGAAACTATGCTAACAATAATCACCAGGATAACGCCTCAGTTTTTATGCTCATAATTAATTTTAAAACTTGTACTCATATGATAGTAAAATGTGCACTACCTTTTGATTGATCGATTTTGGATCATCTTAATAGCATTAACTCACAGATGTAATAGTAAATAAATAATCTATATTAAATAGTAATATTTTATAATTTTATTTTATTTAGATCATAACTGATTTAGGCTTACTGTTCTTATCAACAGTTATGTATGGGCAAACTATCATACTACTAACCTTAGTTTCATCCTTAATTGTGCATCCTCGACCAGTAACTGTCGTCTCTGTAACAGAAACGTTGTTTCCGATCTTGTTGCGCCATCCGATGATGGAGTTCTGTATTGTTGTGTTCTCGCCGATCACTGTTCCCTCAAGAATTACGCATCTGTCGAGTTTTGAGCCTTTTCCGATTGTAACGTGTGGGCCAATAACAACGTCGTCGCCAATGTGTACTCCTTCGGCGATTGTAGATGTTTCGTCGATGAATGACTGTATTTTGAGAGTTTCTTTTGCTAAAGGAATTGCTTCAAGGAAAGCCTGTGGAGTACCGATATCCATCCAATGTCCTTGAAGTTTCATGACGTGGAGTTGCTTTCTTGAGGCGATTTCTGGGAAAATTTCGCGTTCAATTGAGCAGAACTTTTCAGGGATCAAATCGACTACGGATGGCTCTAATATGTAATGACCAGCATTAATAGCAACGTTCTTGTTGTTTTCTGTTGGTTTTTCGCGGAATCCGGTGACAACTCCTTCTGCGTCTGAATCAATGACACCGTAACGTGATCCATCTTCAACATTGATGCTCATGATTGTAGCTTCGCCATCGTGATTCATGTGGTACTTTAATAAATCTGTGAATGGATAAATAGACATAATATCTGAGTTTAACATGAAGAATCTATGTCCTTTCAAGTGCTTTCTAGCAAGAGCGATTGGTCCTGCAGTTCCTAATGGTTCAATTTCGATGGATGGGATAACTTCAATTCCTGGGTGAGCTTGTTGGTAACTTTCGATGAATCTCTTAAGATCATCTTGGAGTTCGGCAAGAGCAAGAATGATCTTCTTGCAGTTTGCTGCAACTAACGCGTCAAGCATGAATTCGCACATGTGTTTGTTGCAAAACTCAACTAATGGCTTAGAACATGTGAAAGTAAGCGGTCTGAGACGTGTTCCAAAACCACCAACTAAAACAAGTGCTGCAAGTGGAAGATCCTGTTTAGGCATCCGAAAGAAAAAGTGTAGTTTTTTATCTCAATTATTTGACAAATAGAAAATTCAGAAGTCTAACCGATTGGAAAATTTATAATTCTTGACATGTATATCTGTTTTATGTTAACATTTAAATTATATTTGTTTTCGGCAATATGAAAAAGTGACGCTCAACCTCATATGACCTTTTATCCTATTGTTATAAACAGCTCGCTTTATAGCTCTTATTTTAATCGAGATTTTTGTCGAAATAGTACATTTTTTTTAACAGATGCCTCCAAAGAGGGAGAAAAAGAAAAAATCAAACTATACTAAGATGGGGAAACCCGATAAAACAGCAAACTTGGAACCCCAGGACCAAATTCCTGACCAAAAGTCGTTTTTTTATTCGATTCCAAATCCGAAATTTATCACTTCTTTTTTGGCACTCTTAAAGAAGAATTTAATTGTTCGTAGACGCACATCATCCACATTTGTCACTATGTTTTTAGTTCCTTTCTTTATTTTGCCACTAACAAATATAGATTTGGATGAAAAACCATCATTTAGCGATATTAGGCGTCCAGTTGCCCAAGATTATTATTCAGCTGTTAATAATATATCAATGTCTCTTGAAAAAAGGTCAAAAAACGCGTTCGGACTTGCTCCTAACACAAAAGAAGTTAAATCGATGTTTAATAACTTTCAAATTAAACCACATTATTACAATTCAACATATTTCATGGTAAATGCATTCTATAAATACGATACAGCCGCCGGATATTATTTTTGGAATTCCAAAGCGCCTGATTTCTGTATAAACCCAGAAGTAGCTGTAGCAACAAAAGACTTCAAAGATAACTCAGTAGAATCAATGATAGTTGTTCTTTACGAAAGAATTTCAAGTTTTTGTAATTTCACAACGAATGTCATCTTCCATCACAAACAATATGCCGGGAAAGTCATCGATTACAAGTTTACAGCAGATAATATCATCGCAACTTACATGATGCTTCCAATAATTTCACTTCTTGGTACAGAAGCCAGTTTTCTGATGAAAGATCGCGCAAATGGTTTTATTAACTCACTTTACCTTGGTGGCTGCAGCCGTTTCGTGTTTTGGTCAGCAACAATTGTCACATCAATTATTTGTTGCCTTCCAGCATGTTTAATCATGTCATTTTACCTTACATCCGAAAGTATTCTCATTGATTCAGATATGTCCGTAATTTTCGTATTCTTTTTCTTATTTTCAATTTCGAGCACTTTTTCAGTATTTTTATTGAGTTTAGCAGTCAACAATGATGAAAGCCAAAGGAGTGTGAAGCTCCCGATGACTGTAGTATCAATGCTTTTCTCAATTGTCAGTGGATTTTTGAAGACAAATCAATCCGAGTTTTTCATCACAGTTTTGACATTATTTTTCCCTCAAATCGCATATACGCAAGGATTAACCAGCGTTTTCGCGTCTTACAGGTACCAGGGACCAGTAACATGGAATAATTTTTATAGTGGTGATAATTATGCGATGACGCATAACGCAATATTGTTAGTATACTCAAACATATTCTATGCGATGTTATTTTTTATAATTATTTTGTATCAAGAAACTCATTTCGTTCCTGATCGTATTAAAGCGTTGTTGACGAGCCATCCTCGTGACTACTTCAAGAATGACTCAATAGTACTCAAAGCGACAGGTCTTAGAAAGAATTACGGAGAAATTAAGGCATTAAACGGAGTAAACTTCGAATTAGAGCCTGGCGATGTTGTTGCCATTATTGGCCCTAACGGTAGTGGCAAGAGTACATTGATTGGAACGATGACGAACACATTAGTTGCAGATGACGGCAGAATTTCACTTTTCGGACATGATTCAACAGACGTTTATTCAGGATTTGAAGAGATCAAGCAATGCAGCGGTGTCTGTTTCCAAGGAAACACAATTGTCCCGGAGCTTTCCATTCGCGACCACTTGTCACTTTTTGGAACAATTCGTGGACTCACTCCTGAACAGATTATAGACAGAACAGACCTATTACTGTCATCCCTTCAGCTTACATCGATTGCCGAGATGCAATCCCTCAATCTTTCCGGTGGACAAAAGCGAAAACTTTGTATTGCGATCGCATTACTTTCGAAACCACCAATTATCGTGTTAGATGAACCTACAGCAGGTGTAGACTTCGAGGCAAGACAGAATATCTGGAAAGTTCTTGCTTCTCAGAAAGAATCTGTTTGTATGATTACATCACACGCTTTGGAAGAAAGTGAACAAGTCTGCAACAAAATATTTGTTATGTCGAAAGGAGAAATCAAAAAGAAAGGGTCTGCAACTGAATTGAGATCGATATTTAAATGTGGATATGTTTTGAGAGTTGTTAATGAAGAATATGATAAAGAAGGGTTCTTGGCAATGCTTAGATCTGTTATTGATGGTGTAACTATTGAGAAAAAGAAGAATAACACGTATCACATTCCAATTGTTGAAGATAAAATTGCAACATTCGTAAAAACTTTGGAATCAAGAATGAGAGAGTTTGGTGTTGATCAGTTCACTTTTACTATTGATGCACTTGAAGAAGTTCTACTTAGAATTGTTCAGGAGGAAGATCAGAATTCTAATATTAAAACACGCGGAAATTAAATAAAATAAAATATAGAGTTGAATAAAAAAAATATATAATGTTTTTATTTCTAAAATTTTAAAGTCTTTGTTTTTTAAAATCAAAATTGTTAATATTGGGTGGTTTCCATCGAAAGTTACCACTTGGTCGCACAGGGATTGACCTAGTTTCTTGAAGATTGGAGACTTCTGAGACTTTAAATTTGAAAATTTAAAGGTGCATTTATCACTTCCTGACACCTTCTCAAATTTCCTATTTAAGGTTTTATTTACGACTTTTCGTTTTGAGAGAGTTTCAGAAAGTGCCAAGCGCATGCTATAATATCGGTTGCGAAAATAGGCTGCTCATTATTTTTAAAATAGCATGGTACATATAAGAAATGAAAAATATTGATTTGATTCAGCTCCAGCTTAATTAATAAAATGGAAATGATAATATCAAATCAAACTAAGATATAGCATTTCTTTTACACTATCTCACATCAAATTATATACTGGATTTTTTATTTTGATTTGTGGAAAAAATTGAATAGTGGAAAAAAAAAGAATTGAATTTTGGGGAAAAAATGAATCGTGGAAATTGTACAAGTTACAGCATTGTGTAATTTTTTTTCATTTTCTATGGTACAAGTTACAGCATTGTGCAATGAAATAGAGCGTGTAGGTATTCTTAGAGAATGTGGTAAATTGAAGATTAAGATAAATGGACAAATAATCGAAACGTTGAAATCATCTGCGGTTTGTTTTTCAGGTTTAATTAAAGAAAAATGCATTTTTAATAAATTAATATCATTTATTGAATTAAATCTAAATATCAAGTGCAGTGATTCAATTAACATACTCAAAAAGTTCATAGACACTGGAATCCTAGAATTTGAAGAAGATGAAAATCATTACCATGATATATTTGAATTTGGCAAAGTATTTATGAATCAGCTTCTGATACAAATGTATATCAAACACGTCAAATCAGATAACTCGATCACTAATGAAAATGTATTTCGGAAATATGAAATTTCTGTTATTGAAAACGATTTCACAACACAAAATCGATGCATTGAATACATATCATCACACTTATATTGCCTGAATTACACTAATATTATCGAAAACACAGTTGAATTTGGATACGACTTTTGTGAAAAAATTTTGACATCTAAATCATTAAAAATCGAAAACGAAGATAAGCTATGTATGCTGCTACTCGAGATTTGTAAACGTGACAATAAATTCTTTGATTTATTTAGACATATTTCATTAGAATATTGTACTCCTCATATTATTGAAGAAATTTATAATTTTTCAGTTGAAAACTCATTCGAATCAATTCTTCTAAATATTTATAAAGACACATTGAAACAATATCATTCAAATATACGAAATAAAATTAAACTATCAAATAACTCTATTTCATCATTCGAAAAACCCATCACTAAACAAAAATTTGAAATTTCGAATATACCAATTAATGTCTTTGAATCTCATTTACCAGCTTCTAGAATAATTCAAATGGAATATTCATCATCGTCCACTCGCTGTGGACGAGTAACAGACATAAATTCATATTCAATTCATAAAGATTTCCATACAAAAACTGAAATTAATTCATGGATTAGAGCAGATCTCAAAGGATACAAAATAAAACCAACATCTTATATTTTGCTATCGACATATACTGATAATCGTCTTTTGAGATATTGGAGGTTAGAAGGTATAAAAGCTGATGGATCAACAGTTGTATTAGATACTAAAGATTATGCATTTCATTATAATGAAATCAAAGAATTTCCACTTCAAACAAACGACTATTTTATTGCATTCAAAATAATTCATACGGGAAAGAATCAAGATCCTGGCATTAATTATCCGTATTGCTTATGCATTCAAGTTTTTGATTTCAAAGGTGAATTAATAAAAATTTAGGAAAAATCTTCTTATTTATATATTTTGAAATCAGTTGAATAAGTGAGTAGTTTTTTTTGCTGCAGAATGAAGAGTGATTCCTCCATATTTTATAACTTTTATATTGTACTTCATTATATGGAATAAAGAAAAATCTCTAGAACACAAATATTTGTATTCCTTATGAGATTTTGATATCAATATTGATCTGGTGGACTCCAATCTTTTGGAATATAATGGAAATGATATTAATCATATATATGGAGTGTCAGGAAACCAATGCAGCAACTTGGTGCTCTGATGTTAATTTGAGATTTACCTACATTTTAAATAAATAAGGTATGAATTCAAACCTTTGTTTAGGTTAGAATATGCGAAGATAGGACAACTCAAAGGATGAGCATGGATATGTTCCACTTATTTGATATTCAAGTCTCAAAATCGTATAGTATATGCCAATGATAAAATGAGAAATAATTTGTTGAGTGAATTGCATAAATCGCCAATCTTTCAGTTGTAATAGTCTAATTTCGAGATTGTTGATGTCATTATGTGAATATACTTTGCTAATTTTGTTTTACATGTATAACTTGAGTGAAAAAATGTAAACGGTCTCAGAATGAGTACTTGTTCTTCTAATTGGAGTAATTCCCAAGGAAGCCATACAAAAGGCGACTTACTCCAGATCCAAGAAATGAAATTACAAAATGAGCACCTTCAAGCACGCATTGAACAGTTACAAAATTCGCTTGACACAACAAATTCTCAACTTCGTCAAGCACTTGAAACCGCATCAACAGTCAATCCACTTCACGAAGAGAATATAGCTCTGAAATTACAATTACGTGAAGCGACAGACAACTATACAAAAACGAAAAATAGTTTTATTTGCCAATTAGCCGAATTGAATCAGAAACTTGATGATGAGAAGTCAAAGAATGCAAAGGCAGTGGAAGAACAAGCAAAAGAAATCACTAAACTTAAAAATTATTCAAATAAAACGCAAAAAGAGAGAGATTTAGTAACAGATGAGTTAATCACATATAAGGAACAACTTGCTGATGCTACAACTAAAGTTCAAAAGCTTGTAAAGCATAAAGCTAAAGCCAGATCAATGATTGACATGTTATCAAACAAAATCGACCAATTAGAATCAGTTACAAACGAACTTTCTACAGAAAACGATAAACTCACCGCAGCCAAGCGTTCTCTCGAAACAGAAAATGCTCAATTAAAAGATCAAATTGAAAACCTCAAACAAAGCGATAAACATAATACAGATACATTGCATTATGCTCAAACTGAGAACAAGAACCTCTGTTCAGCTATTGAAAGCCTTCAAGAACAATTCGAAATCCAAAAAGATGACTTTACATCAATTGCTGAAGAACGCGATAGTCTTCTTCAAATAATAAAGAAACTCCATTCAGCTATCTGCTATTATGAAAATGAACTTGATTCATTGAAGCAACAAAACGCATTATTACAAGATAAATCAAAGAAAGCAGCTGTTAAGCCACAACTCTTTTCAGATCAATTCGATATTACTCAGATTACATTCCCATTCGATGACGATCTCAAGAAACAGATCAATACAATTATTGGTTTTGATCATTTCCAGCCAATGCAAAAGCTTCAGTTAATCATCAATGAAATAACCAAATCATTAAATAACCTCCAGCAGAAAGCCAAAGAATCAACACAAAACGCAGAAACTTTTGAAAATGATAATAAAATCTTGAAAGAAAACTACAACAAGTCAAATATTCTCTTATCAACATTAGCTAGAGAATGGAAGAACCTCGAATGCAACGAAGAAAAGATCGATGCTATTGAATTTTGCGAAAATGATAAGAATTTCTTAGAATTTTTGGCTGAAGAGATTCCAAAGATCAAAGAACTTCCAGAAGATGCACAGAATCTCTTGGCGGAAGAATCGGCCAACTTAAGGCACGAAATTCTTGAAAATCTCTCAAAGAAAGATAAAGTTTATGCAAACTTAGTTTCTGTTGTCTTTTTAGATAACCAGAGGCTCAGAAAGCAACTTGAAAAGGTTCTTGCATCATGCAACAAGAAGGAACAACTCATGCAGACCCTTGAATCCGTTGGTGTCGAAGATGTTTACGATTTACCCGAAATCATCAAAGAATTACAAAGTCAAATCGACCATCTCAAGGACACAAGAAGAGAATTACATGTTGCATTGGTTGAAGCAAGGAATGCACTCAAGGAAAGAGTCACAAATGATGAACAAATGCAAAATCAACTGAATGAAAACAAACAAAAACTTTCTGAGTTATATGCTGAAAACCAACGTCTCAAATGCGAATTCGAGAGATTACATAACAACACAAGTATTACAATGCCAATAATTCCACAGACACCAACAACAAAACCTGTTCAAATTGAACCTAAATATGTCAAAGAAGAAAATGATGATGATGAACTTAAACTGACATTAAAGAACTTGCATGACACAATCAAGAGCAAGACAGAGGAAATAGAGAAGCTTAAGAAGACACTTAAGGAGTTAACAGAAGAAGCAAACTTGGCTAAAGATGATTTCAAGAGACATTTGAAGAGAAAAGAAAATGAAATCCAAAATTTGGAAATGTGTTTACAAAAAGTTACCGAAAACTTGCAAAAATCAAAGAAGAAACTGAAAATTGAGAAGCAGAAGATCTATAATGAACATCAGAATGAAGTTAACCAGATAGTCATGAACTTCGAAAAGGCAAAACAAGAACTCAATCAAAGTTTGACAGAAAACAAAGAAAAAGTTGAAAAATTGAGTAGTGCCAATTCTAAGATTCAAAATGATTTGCAGGCAAAACAAGACGAATCTAAGTCCCTCAAAGATGAGAACAATTCGTTGATCACTAAGGTCCAAAACCTTGAAAACAAGTTGCAATTAATGAACGACCAAATTGCAAAAGAACAAAAACAAAACCAAGCAAATACAACAGTTAAACTCCTCAACCAAGAGAATTTACATCAAAAGGAAACAAAGGAGTTGAGAATGAAGTACGAATCAGAAAAGAAGAGAATGATGGACTTCATTACTTCTCATCTCGGAAGCCTTTACGGAATTATTGATTTCGATTATGATGAAAATAGCATTTCACAACTCTTTATTAAGATCCAGAATGATCTTAACAAACTTAAGTATTTCCAAGACCAAGCAACTAAGCTTTAACATAATTTCATAATTTATTTTTTTAATTGTTTTATTTTTATCTTGACATTTACTAAAACTTTATATCATTATCATTTGTTTCATTTGAAACATTGCAATATTCTGTAATATGGATAATATAAAATAAGAATTTTATATTTTGCTATGGGATGCTTTCTTTTGATATAAAAATGTCTAGAATTAACCACTCCTTATTTGGATAGGGAATACATGGATTATTAATTTTACGAGCGTGATTTCATAAAAAAAAATATTTTTTCTGCCCTGCGCAAAATTTTGAGTGATCTAACGTACTATGAATAATTATTACCAACACAAATCTTGTCCGAATTCCAGTAAGATTTGACAATTATTGTTTTTATATAAATGTCACTTTTTATTATTCATGAAATATTTAGACGATTTAAAGAGTGAATTGGATTACTTCATGAAAGAAGAATCGAGGGACAGAGATAAGATGATCGAGATCATCCGAAAAGATCTCATTGGAATGCTTAAAAATTCAGAAAATTTCTCCTCATTAACAGAAAAAATCCAGCTTAAAAAGACGAAAATTCAGTACAGAACAATGATGTGGAATATTCTTCTAGGACTCGGCAAAATTGATGAACATGATGCTGATAAATATATAACTGCTTACCACTACCTTTCTAATTCAGACCAAAGAAAGCTTCTTGAAGAATTACAAAGAATCAGCAAGGCTCAAAAGGAGCAGAAAAACAAAACGGACTTTCAATCATATTGTTCGTTTTTGGTGCTTTTCTCAGGCTTTCTTTCTCACTCTGGAGCTACATATCCTCTTCATCAGCCTTTGCTTACTTTTGGCCAAATTTTGCTTCAGAACTACTCTTATCCACTAGCATTTTTCTCATTTAAGCAGTTTGTAGAATACTATGCCCCTCATTGCTATCCCAAGAAAGGTGGCAAAAATGACGACAAAGAAGCACCAAAATTGGCTGTCCAAATCGCCTACGAATACGAACCACAATTAGTAGCAAAATTTAAGCGCCACAATCCCGAGTACAGTTTTTCATTTAATCATGTTAATTCATTCTTCACCCAAATGAAGCCAGTTGATCAAGTTTCAATAATTTTTGATTTTATTTTTGCCTTTGGAGCATTCATGGTTATATTTATCGAAGCTGGATGGCTTTATATTAACAGCGACATCAAAGATAATACAGAAGCTTACAATTTGCCTGATGCGGCAGCTGTTATCAAGAAAGGCATTGAAATTCTCAAGAAGACAAAGCCCGAATTGATTGAAAAGGCACAATCATTCTACAAATAGATTTTTTTCAACTCGAAATTTACTTATAAATATGAAAAATTGTTAGATTAAAATTTAATGATTGAAAACTTACTTAATTTTTTAATCTAAAATAGAATGATGTATCCTATTTTTTTCATTTTTTTTTATATGATATAAGAAAGAAAAATTAGTTATTTATGTGCAGCATCGTATTCATCAATAACTCTTCTGCATTGTTCCATTGTATCTGTGCAAATTCCTGTAAGACCTAAGTCGAGTTGTTGATTGATTGCTTCAACTGTGTTATTTGGCTTTCCGTAGGTTGAAACTTGGAATCCCATGTTGATGAGCTCAGTTGCAAGCTTTGGTTCTTTCAATAGATGTTCGCTATCGAGAACGAAACCATTGATTCCGAGTTCTTTATGGAGAGGAGCAAAGGAACGGACTTTAAGGAGGAACTTTTCAAATGTCTCGTCTTTTTCGACTGTCATTAATTGGTATACTGGCCACCTAGATTGCTTTGTAGCGAGCATAACAACAACTAATGGGCAAAATGCAGAGAAGAAGAGCTCGCGATCACCAACATAAGCATTCATTTCATCAATAACACGTTGGAGGAAGTGGTTTCTCTCAGCATATGGGATCTTGTCTCTGAATAATTTTGAGAAAGGATATTTGATCTCAATATCTAAAACTAAGTCCTTAGGAAGATCAGTCATGAGTTCTTTGAATGTTGGACGCTCGCATTTGTAATCTGTCGTTAATCCTGACTCACGATGAATCTTTGTATTAAGTTGCTGCCATGCATAAAGGATTTTACCTTCCTCAACGGAGTTGGGCTTTATTCCTTCGATTGGCTCTTTGACTTCAAGTGTAAAATCATGGAAAATAACAGGTGTCTCATCATCTACGAGTTGAACATCGAATTCGACAACATCAGCCTTCCTTTCATAAGCTTTCATGAATCCTGGCATTGTGTTTTCGAGGAATTCCTTTGCAACGACGTTAGCACCAGAACCTCTGTGTCCGATTGCAATATGCTTTGGCAAATGTAGTTCAACTTTGCCAGTTGGTGGATTCTGAAGTGGGAATGAGACAGCACAGATTAAAGTGATTGTTAATTCTGCATTTTCTTTACAAGCAAGTGTAATAATTTTGTATTTTGGTGCAGAAATCATGTCATACTTAAATTCAAATGTTCCAACTTTCTTATCTTCTTTGAAAGCATCGAATTCGAAGTTAAAATCCTTTTCAGGATTTTCTGTTTTGCCATAAATGACGAGCATTTGTGTATCACTATAAAGGTTGACAGCACCACCCTTCCTGCTCTTAATTGTGAAGTCTCCAACGCGATGATCCTCGTATCCGATGAGAACGATCATTATTTCTGTTCTTTAAACGATGGAGAAAAAAAAATTCAATCTAATCGTTCAAATCTTAAAATTTCAATATGGGTGCGACACGCCGATAGAATCAAAAACTTTTGTTTACCAATATCTTTTCTTTCTTGAAGTAATCAAACTTTAGCTCGAACTAATATACATTAATTACGATATGTGAACCAATGTAATCCGTTAGAAAAGTTACTTTTGAAAGTTTTCAAAAATTTCCAACATTATCATAGTGTGATCGGTCAGAACCCTAAAAGAACCATCACACATATTTTACCATTGTAGTTGACTTCTATTATCTAATTTAATTCTGGAAGTCGAATCACTGACAGTAATGAAAATTTTTTTTAGTCTTTTCAATTCTACATCTCTTGTTAATACAAATAAAGCTTGATTTTGTTTCTTTACAAAAATTGAATGAATGAATTTGTGGCAAAAATTATAATAGCTTACTTGTTATAATAAATTCACTATATTGTCTTTTTGACTTCAAAAACAACTTTTGTAAATTTATCAAATTTCCACTGGAATACTCATGTTTTTAATGCATCAACAGCCGCATAGACTCAAAGGATTTCTTAAAGATATCGTCCTATCAGATGAACTTATTGATTTGGAACAAATTATGAATCAAATTCATCATTTAAACTCAGAAAATATCGAAAATGTTTGCAATGATATAAAAAACCATATTACCTGCTACCCATTTCACAATGAAATCATCAACAATGTAATTTCAAACCTTTTAAAACCAGAAAGACCAAATAAATATCTATATCAAAATTTAAGATCAATGTTGAAAGGTAAAGTACGCAATGATAAAGATGATGATTTCTTAGTATACGATCGGGACTCTTGTACAATTGATGAATTTGTAATTAGAAAATCAAATATAGACGAATTTATTGAAATTTTCTCGAATTGCAATCCATCAGATTATGAATTAAATACATATCTTTTGTTTGCAGCAAAATACGGAAAAGTTCACACATTCAAATTTTTATTATTAAATGGTGCAAGAATAACAAGCACTATTACATATGATGCTATATTCGGTCAAAATTTTGAAATAATACATGAATGCTTTATTAATGGTTGTAAATTTGAAAATGAATTTGAATTAGCTTTATCTATACACAATAATGTAATTGCCGATTGGATACTTTCAAACTTTAATCCTCGACTTTGCACTATTGATTTTGCTTATATTGCTGGAAATATTAGAGGAATAATTTTTTTATTAAAAAATGGAGCAAAAATGCAACTTAGAAGTGGTCTCTCACTATTAAATGCATATTTTGAAAAAACTCATCCATTTGTGACGTCTTTGATAAATAGTTTGTTAGAAAATTTATGTAGCTTAAACAAACATGATGCATCAAAAATGTTATATTATTTATCCTTGGCTAGTGGTCGTACTTATAAATATGAACATGGAGTAGATGATACATTTAAAAAAATACTCAGATCTGGCGCCGACCCTAATTATTTTGATGAAGATGGCAAATATTCGTTTGTTCATATAGCAGTTAATTATAACAATCTTGACTTATTAAAGTTATTTTTAAATTGTGGTTCATATATTGAATTACAAACAGGGTATATCGATGAAAACCACTGTAATATGACCCCATTAGGTCTTGCATGCAAAAATGGTTCTTTAGAAATTGTTAAATATTTAATCGAGAAGGGTGCAAACCTTTTTCATTTTGCATGGCATTCTAACATTCTTGATTTAGCTATGGAATCAAGAAATCAAGAAGTAATTGGGCTTATAAGAAGCTTATATAAGTAGTAGTATAGGATGGGTTTTGTGACTTTTTTTGTAAATGTAAGAATTCATACAATATCGAGCGATTTTGTATCATTTTTTTTAACATATGAAGTAAAAAATGTATGATTCTTACGGTTTTTATTCTTACGTTTTTGAATAAATCAAGATTTAAAAAATTTTCAAAATTGTAAGACATTTACACTCAGCCCATACATAATGAAATAAAAAATAATTTTTTTAAAAAAATAAACCATTAAAAAATTAACATTAATTTTAAAATAATTTATTTCATCATTTATAAAAGAAGCTATATATAGATGATGTCAGATATTCCGCGATTAATTAAACATTGTTTAAATCCTGAATGGAATCAATGAAGTCATAATCAAAGACCTCATAAACGAGTAAAAGAAATTAGAAACTAATGATTATTTGAATTTATGAAATCAATTATTTGATTCATTCTTTCTTCAATCTCTTCTATTCTTTTTGTTAAATCATCAATTTTCATTAATGAGGTGATTCTTGATTGAGGAATAGATTTCAAACTAACCACTCCTTTTATTTTTGAAATTTTGAATCCATCAACTTTAAACATTTTATTCAATTTACACGTTGTCAATTCTTCAAATAATTTTTTATTATTAGCATAATAGTCATTAAATTCTTCAACAGATGAAAAAATTTTTATTTCAGTAATTGGTTTAACAACGTTTATTTTTTGTTGAACATTTTCACTTTCATTTATTTCTTCCTCCTCTGTTTCATTTATTTTTAAAATCGGTTTCATTTAACATTAAATAAAAATTAGAATATAAGTGATGAAAATGAATTTTTTAATTAATATTAAATCAGAAATGGCGGCAGGATTCTTTAAAAAATTATGGGATGGAATTAAGAAAGCTGCGGGTTGGGTTCATAAAAAGATTATTAAACCCATTGCAAACTTTTTGGCACCAGTAGCGAAAACGGCAGGAACTATCATAGGTGGAGTATTAGGTACTAAAGCAGGTAATCCGGCGATGGGAGCACAAGCAGGTAACGCAATTGGTGGAATAGCTGAAGGAATACTTAATAAAATAGGAGGTAGATAGTGGAAAAATAAATTATTTTAAAATTATTTTTATCTTAGTATCGGTTGTAGTCTTTGATAAACTTTTTCTCCTTTATTTAAAACTTCTCTTATTGGGGCAGCTTTTGGCGTTATTGATTCAGCAACGTCACTAATTGCTTCTTTATTCTTAAATATCCAATTTGCCCCCTTCTTCAATGTTTCCCAAACTTTACTCGCTCCTCTTTTTACTCTATCCCACAGTTTCTTAAATATACCTGCAGCCATAGTTGATTATTTCATTAAAATTAAAAATTCATTTCCATCTTTTAATTTTGATTTTTTTATTTATTAATAAATGACGACTAACTATTTAGTGCCAAACACCAAACCAATTAATGGAAATGTGTTTCATTCATTCGAAAAGATAAATGAAATATTCGCAAAGAATGACGGTAGAAGATATTATAGAGAACTTGAAAGTTCATGCTATGACTCTGATGCTCCATATTTTGATGATAAACAAACTCATTTAAGAATTACAAATCCGGCTCATGATGTGAACCAATTAGGTGACACATATATTAAACGCAAAGTTAAAGCAACTCTAGTTTCAAATAAAGCTTTCACATGTGATGCCGCTTTTAAATGCATGCGTTTATTCGTTGGTTACAAATCATCAAATCAAAGCTTTAAACAATTAGAAGTAGAAACCGAAAGAGGTGATGCCGGTTATCTTCAGATGGATTGCGCCCGTGAATCTTTCGCATTTGCAACATATAAACCAAAATCAGAAAGGAAAGTTAAAAAGTTTGTTCATTCGTTATATAATAATGTTCAAAAATATGATAACTCAGTATGTGGTAAATATATTGACCCTTCAGAAGTTTTCAAGAGAGCAAATGAAGAAGTTGATGTCACTTTTGATATGATTATTCCGGTAAATGATTTGTTAGCATTTCAGGCGTTCGATGATTATCCTAAATCATTTGGTGATATCATTCTTAAATATTATGTTTTCAGGGATACTTTAGTATTTTGTCAGGTTGACCCGTTAAGAGTTGCTGATTTACAAAATTACGTTTATGAAAAGATAACTGATGAAAATTATGAAAAGATTATGAATCATGTTTATAAATATGATCGCAAATTCCAACAAATCGGACTTCCTGCCAAATTAATTACAAGCTTAGCCGCTACATCTGCTGACGCAACAGTTGATGACGTTATTATTTCATGCACAAAGATGGAAGTTTTAGAGGATAAATGCATTACACCAGGATACGGTTTAATTGAAGAATCAGTTAAAGCAATACCACGTTTATTCAGTAAGGAAGATCCATTCATGATTCCAGCTCAACATATTGACGTTCGTTCACTAAATGGAGGTTGCATCACTCCTGAAGGTATTAGCTCAGATTTCTCATACGCTCTTCATAATGTTACAGATGTTGTGTTAACATTTCCGAAGAATACAATGCAAAGAACAGTTTTAGAAAATCCAATGCTTCGAGGTCTTCAGGTCACTATAGATTCCAGAAACTTCCCCGATCAAGCGATGACCACAGTGGGTGACATATTCTTTACACGTATGCTTCAAGCTTCTGATTTAGATGGAGTGAATGAATGCACGGAAGAATACGAGGACTCATTAACTAGACCATTGAATGCAGATGATGGCGCGCCATTAGCTAGAACATGGAAAGACCAAACTTCATTCTTATGCACTATTCCAGTTCAACGTGATGGAGCGGGTATATTCTTTGATGGATTAGAAACTTTCAACTCACAAGTTACAGTACAAGTGAAAGCTTATCCAATCATTCAGGGTGAAAATGACACTTACTGTTCAAAGGTGACAAATCCTCCTCAGGTTTGGTTTACTAGGACTACATATTGGACATGGACACCGGACGAAGGTTTGAAATATCATCCAACAGGTACACCACCACAGTATAGAAGTTCATATGATGAAATATTGATGAATAGAAATGTTTAAAATTATAAATTTATTTTTGATTAAATGGATTTAAATTCATCCACCCCTTATGAAGAATTAGCAGGAGTATATAATACATACGTAGATGATATGATTAATGAAGCATTGAGTGATAATAAAAATGCTCTATCTAAGGAAAAATTAATGAAAATTCCATATTCTGAATGTTACTTAAATTCAATCACTGCAGCAATTGGTAAACAAAATAAAGGTAAAACATTAACGATATTAAAACAAATTATCATTATTGCTAACACTTCCCCCATTCACATGTGTTAATTTATATCAACCGTTCAGGTTCACCTTCAGATGATACATTTGAATCTTTAAAGCATTTAATCAAAATTCCAATTATTTATTTATCACAAGAAGAAGCAGAAGATTATTTAAAAAACTTTTTAATGTATAAAGAATTATATAATACAATCAAGAAGCAAGGATTAGAGGATAAAATTATTGATAAACAACGGGATGAATTATTTGAAACACTTTCTATTTCAAATTTTGATAGAGAATTTTTGCATTCACTCATTTTTCTAGATGATGCAGTGAAATCAAAACTAATAACAAATGCGAAATCATATTTTAATCAGTTATTAACTCAATGTCGACACATTCAGTGTTCATTCTTTATGGCTGTTCAATATTTCAAAGCATTAAGCACAAACATTAAATCAAATCTATCAACACTTTTCATTTTCAGTGGGTTTAGTCGTCAACAGTTGAACGTTATGCTTTATCAAGTGAATTTACCAATGAGCATTAATGAACTTTACACACAATATCAGCAATTAGGTGAACATGGGAAAATAATAGTTGATTTAAATAAAGGAGGTGTTAAATTTGATTAACTTTTTATAATTAATTTTTATTTTTTATTTATAATTAAACATGACAGAAATAGCAAATCTTCTACAGGTTCCATTAAAACAAGGGACAAACAAAAAGGGTGCATATAATAGAACTATGAAAGTTCCTGATGGAATGAAAGAATTAGTTCATATTGTTGCTGGTCTTCAAAAAGATGTTAAACAAATGAGAAACGTTTTAACATTACCAGAAGCTCAAGCATATGCCAAACGTCAAGGTCCAAATTGGGAAGCACACGAAGCAGACATTACGGGTCCAAATGGAAAACCTGATGGTATAAATGAAGTTTTCGTTACTGATGGTCAAGGTAATATTAAAGTCATAAATGGTTATAAATTAACTATATCTGATTATCCTAAACGTAAAGCATATAATGAACGTTATCCTATGCAATTTGATGAAAATGGAAAAGCTGTTAAACAATACATTGGAGAAGGTGAAAATGGTCCAATTAATTCATACCGTCATAATCCATATTCTTATTTCAATGAAGAATTAAATGCTATTGAAGAGGGACCGGATGGATTACCACGATATTCTAACCAGTTTGATGGTCAATATGCAAATATTAGACCTGAAATTTCAGCTAAGAAATTCTTTAAAGTTGCTTTATTCGATCCAGTTTTCGCAAATGTTAAAGATGAACTTAAACATCAATTCCAACCAATTATAGTAGCAAGAATTGCATCAGGTGCTTTATCTCAAGCATTCAAAGATTTAATTAAGAAACCATTATATCAGCAACGAGGTTTAACTTATGATTTAGTTAAGGAATCAGATAAAAGAAAATTTGAGAAATCAGATGATTATAAGAATGCAATTAATGAATATATTCGGTCTATTAATTTCGATGAAACAGCTAAAAATCAACTTCATGAACAAATACAGGGAATAATAGATTCAAAAGTTCCAGTAAAATAAAAGTTTAAATATATTTTTTTTATTCGATTATAAATGAGAAGACGTTTCACTAGTCAAAAGAACACTAACGCAAAAGCAGAGATTACGGTTGGTTATAACGTAAATGATGATAAATCACGAATTATTCAAAATGTTAAAGTTAATGTTAGCCCTGAATTAACAAGGTCAGCAACTCAACCAAATTTATTAACTCGTGACTTACCGAAGAATGAGGAGAATGAAGAAAACCATGAGAATGGAGACCCAATCATTTTATCTGAACCCAGTAAAGAACCTGTTGAAATTCCCACTTATCCAACATACCCCCCACCTCTTTCATCAAACATCGAGAACCCATATAAAATAGATATTAATTCTGAATTAATGAAAATTTACCGTGATATAATAATTAATAATTATGATTCAATAATAAATTTAATTGACCAATCCGGTTTAATTATTTTACCTTATGAATCATTAATTCACATTATCGCCATTCTTTTGATGTTCAAGATTCAGACGTTAAGATTCAATTTTTCATAGATGATGAGGTTTCATGCTGCGGAACAGTTGCAAAAATAAATCCTATAAAGGATATTAGCACAATTAAGATAACAAAGAATGGAACAACAACTGAACTTCATTTAACATATAATGATATTTATAATAAAATAGTTGATGAATATAAAATATCACTTGAAAAATTCTTTGTTAAGGCTATTTAATATTCAAGCATTAACATTATCGAATAATAATCCTTTGAATCATAATCAATAATAATTGACCTTTCACCAGTTTCTATCGTTTGTTTTATTTCTTTTTGTTTCCCACTATCCGGATCGGTCATTGTAATTGTTTTTGTTATAGTATCAGCTTTATTTTTAACTTCAATCTTTTTTCCATCAGGATATTTAAACCAAAATTCCAAAAATTCGATATTGTCAATCTGTTCATATTTTAATCTATCAATTACATTTTTAATACCATCTGAAAATCTTATGAAATGGTCATTATATGGGTTTGATTGAACTAAATTTGAATGAAGTGAAATATAACCTGTTGATGAATATGACATCGACTCATATTTTCTGAAAACACTAAAATTTATAACATGAATGAATTTCTTATTCGTTGAATTTATGAATTCTTGAGGTAATCTTATTCTAGTTTTATTTATCACTGGAAAATAACGCTTTACCATATTTTTAATCGTAATAAAAAATGTCAATTATCAATATTATTTCGAATAATAACTGTGAATTAAATTTAACAGTTAGCGGAATTTATAATGTTACTCTCGTTTCTGTGAGTGGTAAATTTAATCCCATTCTTTTAGACCCTTCAGATTATATATCATTTATTAAAGATGACCATGAAAAAACGTATGATATGTATATAAATAATGTGATAGCGAAATGGGATATTAACATGATTTTAAGTTATTTAAATGAATCATTTATCGTATGGTATGAAGAAAATTTTAAATCAAAACCTGATAAACTTTTTGAACTTGATGAAATAAATAACCTTATTAAATTCCCGCTGAAAATTAAATTTTGTACTCCTCATCTTCGTTCATTGTTGGGGATATTAAATTTTGAAAAAGATGTTGGGGATGTTTTGTATTCTGACACTGGTTCCAATTTCATTTTAATCAAATGTGATAAAGTTAATACCCCAATGAGATTTTCACATCAAACATTAGACCCTAACTCTTACCCATCAATACAAAACATTTTATCCATCAACTTAAACACATTTTCTTTATCATATCCGTTTCAATTATCTGGGAATTCATTTATTCTTCATTCAAAAGATTTATCAAATATTAAATTTAGAATAACTGACCTATTTGATTGTGATTTAGAATTTATGAATGAAATATTATGGCAATTTCAAATAGAGAAAATAGCTGATGAGATAACGGATTAAATATTTATTTTTAAATCATAATAAATGATTAAACAACAGCAACCACAGCAACTTAAGGCGCAAAGCACCCAGGTCCTTCAAACCATTACATACGCCATATATGCATATAATTCAAAGACGGCAGAACAAACGCAAAGGTTGAAATATGGAGATTTGGAGATAGTATTGAAAAATGACCGTTTCGAATTCGTTTGCAAAGGTGGTGCAGTGATATCAAATATAAAAGAAATTTTATTTATGAATTCAAAAATTAAAGGAATAACGGATGATATAACATCAATTCCACCAGAAGAACAAAGATATATTTAATGAGGAATTGGAAGATTTAATTTAAATGAGGAATTCATAGAAGGTTTCCTAAACGACATAATGAAGAAGGTAGATAAGGAATATGTGGATAGTGAATTAATGAAGAAGGCAAATTTGGTTTATGTTGATGAAAAAGATAATGAAATTAAAGAAAGGGTTGAATGGTATCATGAATGGACATTGGAGACTTTTAAAGTTAAAGCTGATACGGAATGGGTTTCAGGATGTTTAGACCTTAAAGCAGATAAAACATATGTAGATGAAAATTATGCAAAGAAGTCGGAAGTAAATGATGTGATTACAAGCATGAAAAATGAAATACTTCAAACATTATATCCTGTTGGTTCTATTTATACGTCAATGAACTCAACAAATCCAGCAACAGTTTTAGGTTTTGGTGAATGGAAGCAGATTGTAGACAAATTCTTATACTGTGCTAGATATTCAAAGACAGCAGGAGGTTCGAAGAAAATTAAAGAAGCAAACCTTCCACCACACACTCATACAGGAACTACAAACACAACAGGTAATCATACACATTCAATAACAAAAAGAGGTTATAGAAATCTTGCAGCAGGTTCGGATAGACAGGGAATGGATCGATATGATATTTCAAGTGACCCAGTAGATTCAGGCGCGGGTATTTTCTGTGGAACCGCAGGAAATCATTCACACACTTTCACAACAAATCCAACAGGCTTGGGTAAAGATTACATGCCACCATTTATGACTATATTTGCATGGTACCGAATGAACTAAATATATTTTATGTCTGTAATTAATTAGGTAATGAAGTAGGGGATGAACTGCAGAAATATATTTCATCATTAATGATTTTAGGTTATTCAATAATTAATTATTTTTGAAGAACTGAAGGTGTCACTACGTCACCATGTGTCACTCGGTTATTTAACTTCTCTGAAAAATGATGACAACATGACATTTTGACAACACGGCTGGAAATTTGATGCAAAAATAAAGTTGGTTTTAAAATTATTTTTATTTTTTATTTTGTATGAAAGAAGAAATGTCAGTCGAAGCAAAAACATTCACGAACAAATCTAATGGCGAAACATTCACAAAAGGCACTTATAATGGTATTGAAGTCTTACGTAGAGACAAGGATGGTTACATTAATGCAACAAAGATGGCAAGAGAAGCGGGAAAGTTAAACCATTTAAACAGATTTCTCAATAGTACTAAAATGCAGGAAATTCTTGAGTTTTGGATGAACGAATACGGTCAAGCCAAAAGTGGCTCGACCTCAAAACAAGCATTTTATGAGCTTACTAAGGGTGTTATAAATGAATTCAAAGGTATTTACATACATCCTGACCTCGTTCATTTTGTTGCTGAATGGTGCTCTGTAAAGTATGCATTTTATGTCAAAGATATTATGGACTCCATAGACAAGAAAGTTCATGAGAAATTAGATGAAGAAGAACTCGAAGATACAGTAGTGAATGCTAAACATTTGTTTGAAGAAGAAGTTAGAAAAATGTGTGAAAAACAATTAGAACATGAACGTGAGATATGTTATGGTTATAGAGATTCTTCATACGAACTAGACCAATGGGAACAAGAAGATTTAAAGAGAGAATTTAGAGAATATGAACTCGCTAAGATAGCATTAGAAACTGCAGAAAAGAAGTTAAAAGTTTGGGGTCGTTTTGTACAAAAATATTGTGAGTAAATGAACCATTTATTTTTGTCATTAACGACCAGAAATATATTTCATCATTAATGTTTTTAGGTTATTCAATAATTATTTATTTTTGAATAACTGATGAGGTCACCGGGTCACCAGGTCACCAGGTAATTTAACTTCTCTGAAAAAATGAGACAACATGACATTTTGACAACAGTGTCGGAAATAAATTTTTATCGTTAATGTTTACGTTAATGTTTTTAGGTTATTCAATAATTATTTATTTTTGAATAACTGATGAGGTCACCGGGTCACCAGGTAATTTAACTTCTCTGAAAAAATGAGACAACATGACATTTTGACAACAGTGTCGGAAATAAATTTTTATCGTTAATGTTTACGTTAATGTTTTTAGGTTATTCAATAATTATTTATTTTTGAATAACTGATGAGGTCACCAGGTCACCAGGTAATTTAACTTCTCTGAAAAATGAGACAACATGACATTTTGACAACAGTGTCGGAAATAAATTTTTATCGTTAATGTTTACGTTAATGTTTTTAGGTTATTCAATAATTATTTATTTTTGAATAACTGATGAGGTCACCGGGTCACCAGGTCACCAGGTAATTTAACTTCTCTGAAAAAATGAGACAACATGACATTTTGACAACAGTGTCGGAAATAAATTTTTATCGTTAATGTTTACGTTAATGTTTTTAGGTTATTCAATAATTATTTATTTTTGAATAACTGATGAGGTCACCGGGTCACCAGGTAATTTAACTTCTCTGAAAAAATGAGACAACATGACATTTTGACAACAGTGTCGGAAATAAATTTTTATCGTTAATGTTTACGTTAATGTTTTTAGGTTATTCAATAATTATTTATTTTTGAATAACTGATGAGGTCACCGGGTCACCAGGTCACCAGGTAATTTAACTTCTCTGAAAAAATGAGACAACATGACATTTTGACAACAGTGTCGGAAATAAATTTTTATCGTTAATGTTTACGTTAATGTTTTTAGGTTATTCAATAATTATTTATTTTTGAATAACTGATGAGGTCACCGGGTCACCAGGTAATTTAACTTCTCTGAAAAAATGAGACAACATGACATTTTGACAACAGTGTCGGAAATAAATTTTTATCGTTAATGTTTACGTTAATGTTTTTAGGTTATTCAATAATTATTTATTTTTGAATAACTGATGAGGTCACCGGGTCACCAGGTCACCAGGTAATTTAACTTCTCTGAAAAAATGAGACAACATGACATTTTGACAACAGTGTCGGAAATAAATTTTTATCGTTAATGTTTACGTTAATGTTTTTAGGTTATTCAATAATTATTTATTTTTGAATAACTGATGAGGTCACCGGGTCACCAGGTAATTTAACTTCTCTGAAAAAATGAGACAACATGACATTTTGACAACAGTGTCGGAAATAAATTTTTATCGTTAATGTTTACGTTAATGTTTTTAGGTTATTCAATAATTATTTATTTTTGAATAACTGATGAGGTCACCGGGTCACCAGGTCACCAGGTAATTTAACTTCTCTGAAAAAATGAGACAACATGACATTTTGACAACAGTGTCGGAAATAAATTTTTATCGTTAATGTTTACGTTAATGTTTTTAGGTTATTCAATAATTATTTATTTTTGAATAACTGATGAGGTCACCGGGTCACCAGGTCACCAGGTAATTTAACTTCTCTGAAAAAATGAGACAACATGACATTTTGACAACAGTGTCGGAAATAAATTTTTATCGTTAATGTTTACGTTAATGTTTTTAGGTTATTCAATAATTATTTATTTTTGAATAACTGATGAGGTCACCAGGTCACCAGGTAATTTAACTTCTCTGAAAAATGAGACAACATGACATTTTGACAACAGTGTCGGAAATAAATTTTTATCGTTAATGTTTACGTTAATGTTTTTAGGTTATTCAATAATTATTTATTTTTGAATAACTGATGAGGTCACCGGGTCACCAGGTCACCAGGTAATTTAACTTCTCTGAAAAAATGAGACAACATGACATTTTGACAACAGTGTCGGAAATAAATTTTTATCGTTAATGTTTACGTTAATGTTTTTAGGTTATTCAATAATTATTTATTTTTGAATAACTGATGAGGTCACCAGGTCACCAGGTAATTTAACTTCTCTGAAAAAATGAGACAACATGACATTTTGACAGTTAGTATCCCTAAGTCGTGTACAGCGGCACTGCGCGCCTCCGTACACCACTTAGCGGTTTTGACACTTTACGAAACCAGTAACGTATATTTTACAACACAACCATAACACCAACTTAACCTTAAATATTTACAAAACTATCTGACACATAAACGACTTCACTAATGATTTCACTAACGACTTCACTACCGTCCTCACTAAATAAAAAATAACCTTATTTTTATTTTTTTTAAATTTTTTATTTCATTACAAAGACATGTCCGACTACATTTACTATGACTCTTTCCCAGAACGTTTCCGTGAACTATTCAAAACTCAAGTAAAACTGAGAAACATGCATTTTAACAAAGACAGACCCATTGACGATGAAAGAAACCCTGAATATATTACAATCCCTTATGACGCAAAGTTCATTGCATACATTCCTTATGGTCGCAGAGGAACGAAAACTATTTCAACAAAGAATAAAAATTATTTCTGGAGCGATGAAGAAAATTGCCTTATCTACATAAATGCATACTTAAATAAAGCTACATATTGTACAAAAGAAGGTTGGACTGGATTTGAGCTCTACATATACGACGACGATGGAAACAGACGCTGTGTATACCCATACGATAATATGTACCATTGTTTTCATCAAGCATTAAACGAATACATAGTCAGTAAGGGTCTCATTCCTGTTGAGTAGATATGTTATATTTTTGTTTTGTCATTTATATAAAAATAAACTTAAAAATTAATGATATCACCACCCCACACGTATGAAAACATAGCGCAAAAATAAATTTAGGTGAAGTGGTGAGATTTCACCTCTTTTTTCACCTGTTTTTTCACCCTAGCCGCAAAGCGGCTCTGACCCTTTGGGTCTGTTGAATTCATTGCTTTATAACTCTCTTCCTTGGTTTCTTTTTAGTTGCTTTCTTCACGTCTGTCTCCAACTTGACTGTCTTTCTTCTTCGTCCATAATGATACCAGTTACTTCCACCAGTCAATGGGTCAAATGGTCTTTCGTAAGGGTTTCCATACATTCCATAGGGACCATACGGAAGAACTACTGGTGGAGAAGAAACATTTTCTTTAGTTCCATCGACTCTATTTAAATGCATTGTTTCACCTTTCATCTGGTC